TGCTAGAATAGGGGCGTGTCATCCTCCAATTATGGAAATTGAGGTCAACTCACAACTATAGTCGACTATAGTCCTCAATCTAATAAGTGCCCCAAATCATCAATGTCCAGTCTGGCAGATGTGCGAACATTGAAAATACTCAGATGTGATCACTCATGTTTTACATGTTCAGTAGATGATAGATTGACATCCAGAAAATACAGGCCTGGGGTTCCCCCAATCGACCTCCCACGCAAGCAAAACTGCCTCAAGCTGAGATTCGTCATCCACCTGAGTAGCAGAGTTCCATCGAAAAGTCAGGCAAAGTCCATTTTGACTCAAAACATCTTACATCATCTTACCATTGTTCATCGTCATTATGTGATTGTTCATTGTTCACAAAGTCCATCTTACGAATGTGTCATTGTCATTGCTCAAGCCTTCAATATGAATGCCTTGCAGTTCTAAATGAACGCAACTCATGCAGTACTCCAATCATGCAGTGAGAAATCATTGTGCCTGTTGAAACAAAGATCTTGCTGTTTACAGCAAGCCGTGAGCCTTGCAACCCACAAAGTTGTCTGTGATTGGGTTTCAGCCAGTTCTGTATTTTGGAAGGAACCTCTGTTGACTCCAGGCTTCTAATCATTCTCCCAAAGGGATCTTGCAGCTCTGTCATTCTTTCTTCTGCGGGATAGATTTGGGACATACCTCTACACGGGAGTCTCGTCTGGGTCCGTTGAATGGTAGGTGCATGTATATGACCGCACATGGCTTCCTCAAACTACGGACCATCCAGTGTCCCATCTAGGGCAGCCGGCTTCCGATTTCGCAACATGAAAGCTGGGACAACAACCCGCCAAGTCATTCGACAGCTCGAGGTTTAGGGATGTTCAAAGAGTTGCTCTTGGCTTTAGGGAAGCTGCGAAGCATGCCGGTGCGGCTGTTGCCGACAGGGTGCAAACAACGCGCAACAGGAAGCTCTTTGTGTAAAGACTGAAACCCACCCAATCCTGCCAAAGTGCAAAGACTGGAAGCAGTTCATCGATGGATGGGCCTTCGGTGCACAAAGAGAAGTGTCATTTTGCACATCCTCAGTGGGAAGACTCCAGTAACACAAGAATTGAACCTGATTGAAGAACAGTTGGTGGCCAAGCATTCTTGTGGAAGGCAATTTATATTATATATATAATCGATTATAATCGCAATTCTTTCGAGGACCTATTCCACATTCGTCAATTCACAAGCTGCTCCATGCAAAGTGCTCACAGAAAACGGATTCACACACCTTGAGGATCATCCGAAGCCTCAGTCGTGGAATCAAAAGCCTCTTGTAGCGCAAAACAGGCAATCGCACAAGAACTTACACCAGACTATTGGAAGCAATACAGCTATTTCGGAATGGACATTACATGAAATTAGTAGGAAAACACCGGGCAGTTCTGGTCTTGCCAACTGCACTGGGGAGACTATATTTCTCGAATGAAGAAGCACCAACGTCGACAACAGCGTTTCGTGAAACAACTTGCTTTGCAGTGCTTTGCACCTGTATTTGACGTGAAACTCAAGAGCATCAGCATTAGCATCAGCATGTACCCCATTTACAACGTCAGATCGTTGATCTGTTGTTTAACGAACAAAGCTCTTGGCCATCGGCCTCGCACACCTGACGGACCAGTGCGATGGTCTCCTGGCAGAAGATAGCTGGGAAGGTTGGGCCACCTGACTGTGCGTGGAACACACCATACGACACAACATACCGTACCTTTTTACATGAAACTGTATAAGGGACACATCGTAATATGTACATCCCGTGCCCTCATTGACTCATGGATGTAAGCTACCTTGTTCTCTACTGGTGGCACCCACTCCAAGCGCACCAATCAACGCGTATTCCGCTTTCTGAGGTGGGCCTATGGATTGGTTTGACTTTCAAGCAGTTCAAGTTCGGTGGGGAAAGATACTTATATAACTACTTGTGTTTTCTTGTAATCGGTTCTCCGTCCTCTTGTTGCTTGTTACTGCAAAAAGCGACCAAAGAACTCTTGAAGGTATCCCAACATGGTCCCGAATGGCTTAGAAAGGTCGGCGTATGATAGCTGGGCAGTGCAAAGATTAAAAGCAGGTGCCAACATAGAGCCACAGGTGGAACAAATGCTTCATGATGAGACTACATTGATTCTGAACCAAACTTTAGCAGACTCGCATGAACACATGTGGCTGGAAACAGCGACAAAGCTCCAAGACTTCCGTCTTGGAAGCTGGAAGTCCATACTCGTGAGGCTACTAAGCCATGTTAGTTCTGTCTTCTGTTGAAGTAGATGAGCTTCTGCCCAGGATACGTCTTAGACTTCACAAAGGCCTACCTACCTATTAGCCTGATAAGAAGCCCGCTGCCAGCAGCCAAAAGGTCAGCTATCCATGGGTTTGTACACTTAAAGGCGGCAAACAAGTAGGCGTATAAATAGATACGCTTGGTTGTTGAGCGTCCGAAATGGTCCCGGAAAACTGCATATATGATCAGGAGGTTTTCACGTGCCATGATTGGTCCCACACAAGACTCGCCGTGTCGGTTGAAAAAACCAAGGTCTTGTTCGCATCTTTCTCCCTTTGCCTTTGCCTGGGTTTCTCTGGCCATGATGCTGGCGCATGGCGCTAGTCAGCTTGGTTCCCCCCGGTTCGTCGGACCCGTGGCTCCTTCGGTGCGTGCCGCATCAGAGCACGACCCCGCTGAAGGAGGATTCTCCCAGCCTCGCGAGACGGGTGAGTGGAGACCACTTTTTTCTCCGAAAAAGACTGGTGGATTTAGAAGGGACTCCACTGAGCAAATTTTCGGGTCAGAGATGAACCTTTTAGAATTGGACTTTGGGGTCCACCCGATACCGTTTTATAGGCCCTTTGGCACGCGGATGGAGATGGAATGGTACGGATCGAGATTAAAGCTTTCAAAGGGAAGTCCCACAACACTTTGCCTTTGGAATTGCAAAATGTAGAGGAGCGAACATGAAAGTACAGTGGGGGGTGCAAACCTGAAAGCTGAGCACGCGAAAAAAACAAGAAAAAACGTAGTTCTATGATGTCTATAACAATCCCAAACATGCAAATAGGTGAAGCAACAGAATTGCGCAACAAAATGCAGCAAAGCTCGCTCGTGCCACTGCACTTTGATTATAGCAACACATAAGCAAAAAGAACTGAGGAATTTGCTTCAACTCCTCAAAGTGGTCGTGCAATTGGCAAGTCAAACTAGTCTCTGTACGAATCCTTATCTGTAAAACAATCCTACCTGCTTAAGAGCAAGATGGCCCAAAACACAGCGCCCACTTCGGCACATCTCTCCTCTGCTTTGGGCAAAGAATGTAGGAACTCCACAGTGGCGCTGCAGTTCTTGAACCTTTGCGACTTCTCGACTCCCTGGACTCAACATGACTCCCTCCACCACAACGGGAATGACCACTCCAAATCCATGTTCCATGTTGGAAGCTCACCTGTTCCGATCAAACACACCAACAACAAATCCCACAAAGCTATCCTAGCTCTTTCTTTCTCTATTGGACTTGACATGGCACTGTGTTCTGTTGCTTTTGGAGTTCAGAAGGCATTGGAAAGCTGCCCACTCGTGGTCTTTCGAGGGTTTCATGACGAAGAGAGTGCTGCACACGTTCAATCGACCCAGACTCCGCAGACCTCACAGCCACGCCGAGATTCTGCTCCAAAGAGATCCGTACGAAGTCATCAAAGCGGCCCACCTCTTGAAATAAGGAGGCAGCCGAGACAGTAGGTACGGTTTGTCAAGCGAAGCAAGTAAACCAGGTGCAGTGCAGGCGTAGCAAATAGTGTGGGTCTATAAACCTAAATCTTCAAAAAAGCTCCTTGTGGAGTCCTTCTGCCTACCTGAGGCTTGGCAACATCTCCCATACAGCATTGATTCGATCCAAGTCATTTTGCAAGCCTGGATGAATCATGATGAATCTGATTGATTTGGACATGCTGCTCATTACTCATCCCACAGAAAGGAAGGAAAGAAAGCACCTTGACAAAAGGAACCTGCAAAGGGCGCTGTTTCGGCTGTTTCCTTGCTTCGGTCGGCTGTTCGCCATAGCGCCACTGCGACCTTCGGAGCCTGCTTCAGGGATACCCATCCGGTCCAGCCTTGCGAGCCACCTCTGAGGCCAAGCCATAATAGGACGCAGATTCCAAAACCTGGCGTCTCCGAGAGCTTTTAGCGCGTTGCCCTCACCTTTTGCTCAATTCAGTAAGGGCTGCGGCTAAGGTAAGAGCTACCTACTGGACGCAGGATAGCTCACGCACTATTCATTTGGTTCCTAGATTTTTAGAAAACAAACATCTCTGCCCACAGCACAGCACTGACAATTGGGGAGTGCAACTGCCCAAATGTGGCAAATCTCAGATTCCTTTTCATCAGCACAAGGATCACCTCACTCTGTCAAATTCAGTCACCAGCCTCAATGGCAGTCGCATGGTCATACTGGGAAGGAGGCGTCGTCTCCAAGAACTCCTTGCACCCACAGATCCACACACTGGGTGCTGACTACCCACATCTACCCACTCTGAGGTGTGCAGGCCATAGAGCAGTTGCAAAACTTGGTTGTTCAAACGCCAATGGGAGAGAAGGGTGCATTGCGAAGAATTGAACGCTGGCAGCGAGAATGTCAGGTGTCACGGTGTCACCGCATGAAAACCAATTCACCGGGTCACCGGGATCTATTTTTTCGGCCCTCAAAAGGATTGATGCATGCAAGAAGGACCCAGGAGGTCGTGGTAGAGGGACTCACGAAACCAAGAGATCTAGCAAGCCGAACCCGAAAGACCACTGGATTTCTTCCAAAGCTCAGTCATATTCTTTGCAAAGCAAGCGCTCCCTGAAACAAGGGGGGAGACCTCAGGTCTCATGGTCGCTGCAGGTAAGATGTGAGGCTTCCTTCAGGATTATTTCTTCCGACACTCCTCCAGGGTGGAGAAATCCTTGAGCTTTGTATAGCACTTCAGGAGCAATGCCGTGTGTTCTGCTTCAGCCATCTCCTGCAGGCAAAGGGGCAACAGCAAGCCGGTTTCAGCACGGTAAATGCTGAGCTTTTGTTGAGCAGTTAGTGATGATCCATCCTAGTATATAATCGCAGCTGGTCAAAACCAAGCCAATCCAAAGGCTTTACATATACTGTATACATCTGTATAAAGTCTGTATACATTGACTGATCGACTGAGTGCCACACACGTCATCACATGCCTGAACTACTGTAAACTGTAGATTCTACATCTCTAGATTCTGAAATAATTTTAGATGCTGGGGTGCGTCCAACCCCTTCGGTCATTTTCAGCGGCCTTCAGCCTGCTGAAGAGGAATCTAACAAACGAACTCCCCACAAGATCTTGGATAAACTATACATATCTATAGTCTCCGAAAAGGATCTCAATCCGGATCTCGGATGTGTCTAGAAAGTGCACCATCTACAAACCAGCTGTTGCAAATCACAGAGTGAGAATGTCCAGTAATCCTCAGGGTGTTCTCTTCAGCATCTGTACAGTTTAAAAGGATCCAAGCTTGCAGATTGGGAGCCACGAACTCTTCACATGTTTCGATCCATCCTCTTTTTGGATCCTTTGGATGCTGGGATTTTCCAATTCTCCCAGAATCGGCCCATTGGCCGGTTCGACACATGCCCGGTAGCGACATAGTGCCGCCAGGACGATCAGCAGGGAAAAGTGGCCAACGAAACGTTGGTGTTTCAAATAAATTTATTCTCTTTACGAAACAGCCGCGGTGTTGAAGATGAGGGCCTGGCAAGTTTTTGTTGAACTGGTGAACACGCCAAGAAAACATGGTGAAACACTACAGGGACTGATGTATCAGGACACCTAGAACATCCTGGACCCGAATGGATCTGAGAAAAGGTAGGTAGCATGGGCATGGTGAAGGGACGGGAAAAAGACTCGCTTCGATCAACAGCTATCACGATGATTCTATAGTTGCTTTTTGGGCCTCCGCCCTGATACCGAGAGCCTCCAACCAAAGAGCGATGGCCTCCAACCTACTAGCTATAACATCCAACCTAATAGCGATGGCCTCCGACAGAAGAGCGATGGCCTCCAACCTAATAGCTATGGCATCCAACCTAATGGCAATGGCATCCAACCTACTAGGTATGGCATCCAACCTAATAGTGATGGCCTCCAACCTACTATATAGCTATGGCATCCAACCAAAGAGCGATGGCCTCCAACCTACTAGACTAGCGATGGCCTCCAACCAAAAAGCAATGGCCTCCAACCCAAAAGCAATGGCCTCCAATATGTTGTAGGCTGTTCAGGTGTTGTTGCATATCTCCCTATCGATCCTCATACTCCTCGGTCACACAACTTCCGCAGGCCTCGAGGCTGCTACGCACCGTCTCCTGTGCATCAGGATTGTGCGCCCGGTCCTCGACAGCTGCGTCAGGTTCCACCACACATGGCCCACTGGTCCAGCGTTAAAAGCACCAACAGAGTCTACCGTGATGTGTGTCAGCAATACCTCGCATACTGCATCCTACAAAACACTCTGTCCTTGTGGATTTCGCTGGGCTCGTTGCCCTGCTTCATCACATTTGGGTATCATTTAGGAGAGTGAGAGTCGAGTGTCCATTAAGAAACAATATCACAATGGGGAACAAGAAGCTACTAGGAGAGTGTCCATTAAGAGTTGCCATGCAACACATGTGAGCTCACAGGTCCCGAGTGTCGAGGAAAGGACCGTCGTTTGCAACCCCTGACTGCACCTCAAAAGACTTCCCCCTGCATGTAGTGAGAAAAGCCGTTTGTCAACAAATCGAGAAACCAAAAGCTCCTCCATCTGTTGGTTGTCAAGTTGTTTTCTGAATAATTTTCAAATATTTTCAATGTTCGTTCCATCTATTCCTGATTCTTCTGAATGTATGTATACAAACACCTCTTGTGCACATCACAGTGCGGGTCAGCTCACCCAGTGAAATACCATTTGCAACATTTTAGAACCCTTCTATAGCGTCCTTGTTCCTAAGTAGCGATGCCCTTTGCTCCTAGTAGCCTTCTTGTTCCTAGTAGCGATGCCAGGAGCCCCTAGTAGCGTCCGATCGCTCCTAGTAGAATCCAAGAAAGCAAACGTTGAAAACGGAACTCGCGAACTCACCAGCGGCCCGGCCCGGGGGGTCTTCGTTCGGTCGGTAGTTCTCGTTCGACGCGCCCGACCCGTCCTGCAAACAAAGACCTTGCCCCGTGCCTGGCAAAGCTCCACCTCAGCTTACAAGAAGCTACCAGTAACGGCATCACTACTAGGGGCAAGGACGCTACTAGTAGCTCCTGGCCTTACTATTAGTACTACTAGTAACAAGAGGACGCTAGTAACAAAGGGCGAGGGTGTTTTCGGAGAGCAAATGGGTTTGTATTTTTGTTGACGTTCCCGGGCCTGGATGTTTGACGTTCCCGGGTATGCTTCGGGGGTATACTTTGCCTAAGTCGAACATCCCTGCCAGCCCTGCATAAATTGGACACACACAAAAATAATATGGAATATGGACCCCTAAAAGACTTCGAGGTGAAACCCATTGAAGCCCCTCTAGCGGCTGTCCAAATGGGTGAATTTGTTGAGTAATTCGCCCAAAGTAGAGATCTGAATTTTGGAGGATAAGTATGGAATGGACCAAAGCATGATCAGCTTTTTTGCTGGCAAATGGTGATAGGTCTAGTGGAGAACGATGAAAGCCGATGGAGATACACACCTAAAGAATAGCATCCAGCCATGTTAGATTGGAGATCATTGGAGTGCTTTCAGGGGCCAATACAGGTAAATAATTCACACGGATTCTCAGGAATACAAATTGCTCACAAGCCTTTTGAGTACCAAGGTACGAATCATATTCTAATTCTTTACTAACACACACTTCTCAGTGAGGGGAACTTTACCGATTCGGATTGGAAGACGCGTGTACTTCTGCAGATCTAAAGATTGTGACCAAGATTCGCAAAGCTTCCAGCAAGCCCTCGACATAGCGGATTGGCAAGTGGTCATGGAACATGTGTGTGCTGATATAGAGCTCCTCAGTGACGCAACCAATCGCTTGCCTGCTTCTTGCTGGCACCATTGGCTCTAACAGCTCTAACGTGTTTTCATCATCGCAATGAACATGCATGAGGATCCACTTGGATATGTCTCATTACGCACGAATACCAGCCCTGCATTTTGTTGGAGATAGAACTACACAGAAACATCATATGAATCATATGAACTGCTTCTACGAAACACCTTTGTGGTTGAACCACCTCAACAAGAAGACTCAACATCCCAAACATTACTTCCACAAGGTCCAAGCGGAGTGTGTTGGTCCCCAAAGCCCAAACCCTTTGCATCACGCTCTTCTCCCAAGTCTCATGGTAGAAGCTCGGCAAGGACCTCAATTTATGCTCCCAGGGCGAGGCAGGGCTGGGATTTAACTCAGGAACAAAGATTCTACTAGGGGCTCCTGGCTGGTATGAACCATGCGTCCACTGACCAAAGCGATTCTGCCAGCAAGTGACAAATGTCACCACTTTAAGGCCATGGTGCCCAATAGACGTGTTTAAATGTTCTTCAATTATCATGCACGGGGCCAAACAGTAGTGAGATTCATTATGCCTTATGCATCATATATCATACAATGTATCATATCTGTTTTTTTCCGGTCAGTTCAGAATAGGAACCTGCAAAGCCATCAAAGGCAACTATGGGAGGGCACACAAACACACATCCCTCAGATGTAGGGACTGAATCAGCGACTAAAACACCGTTTGCTCTCCAATAGCCATTGATCTCAAAGGCAACTGAGATGAGAACTAGTGGCTCCGAAAACATCGGGGTTGTGCAGTCTTCCAAATGCGTTGTTTCACCCTTGGACATCGTATTCCTTTCCGAAATCCAAACTCACCTACAAATCACAACAATGCAGCGCCCAGCTTTTGGAAAGGTGAATTGCGCATGCCGTCCTATGCCATGACCACCTTCCGTCCCCTCTAAACATCCGAAACTTGGCTTCGAAACCCACGCCTAAGCCATCCATGCCTTACCCGTCCGTCCCGAGGTTCGGAAGAAAAACGGGGTCGCTTCACTCCGAGCCACCAGAAGAGCTTCACTGGATGGGCTGTGAGCCCCACTCCGCGGCAGTCCATGTGCAGGAGGCGGCCCGGAGTACAAAGCACCTTGGAGCCGAAGATCTGGAAAAACAGAGGCAATTGCCGCGCCGAACATCTAGCTTTGTTCATTGCGGTGGGACAAAGAACAAAGTCTTTCACCTCTGCTCAAAAACGATTAAGAGCAAAGCCCAATCAATCTGGAACTCTTGAGCTGCACACTGCACTATCATGGCCCAATGATAGCCAAGGACCACTTTTGCATGCTACAGTGAGGGTCCAACCCGGCGCATTGGCTGGTTATGAACCATCTTGGAGAGATCTACAAAATATAATGGTTCGGATTCAAAGATGGAACGTGGACTCCCAGTCTTTTGGTTGCAGTTATCACAAAAGCACTCAGTACCACTTTCTGGACATGCCAATAATCACAAAAGCAAAAAGCCGCTTTCCACCCACCACCCGTCCGATGAATCACAGTATTTTTTGCCTTTTGTATTGGAACGACAAGGACTACCCTGGGAGCACCCTGCCTCGGCCACTTGTGAGGAAGCGCCAAAGGCTCGAGCTCTTGGGCTCAGATTGGGGGCTCCTGAACAGCTGAACGCAGCAAGCGATCGTAACGGAGAAGCGCGGAGAACTCAAAACACCCAAGCATGGAGAAGCGTGTGCTAAAGTGGACCTCGGCCAGCCCACATGGAATGAACAGTTGGTTGCGTGTGAACATGCCATGTGATAACATGTGCACACTTATAGCAGCTACAGTAGCGGGATATCAGTTTCACTTGACCCATCCTCAAATACTTCAAGATACTTCAAGTCTTCGGTGAGTTCACTGAAAACTCAAGATAAAGGAATAACTGCGTATAACACACACAAATCCCACAAACAAGCAGTGAATTCTCTTAGCAATCCTCTCGGGGCGAAAAATGACACGTTAACATAAAGAACGGTGGCTCTTAGTTACCTCAACAAAGATCTTCCAATGATGCATCACCTCTCTTGATAAAGTTACACACACTGTCACATGCTGTGGATACCCGCACCACCTACAAGATTCCCGTGTACAAAATAGGACCTCCCCGTTTTGTCTGAAACAGTACCTGTGGATCGGCCCAGTTGTACAGTACCTGTGGATCGGCCCATCTTCTGTCGAATCCATTGCTTCGCCATGTGCGCAGCGCTCCTCTCCTGCGCAGAGAGATACTGAGAGTGTCTAATTAGTCACCTCAGAGCTTCCATGGAAAACTGGAAGCAAACTTCAGTTAGCTTGGGCAATAAGCAGTTTACCAAGGCAAAACGCTGAGCAAAACAAGGCATCTGACTTCAGTATCCAAACAATATGGAGAGGTTCTGTCTGGATGGCGATGACAACTCGGGTGACCGTCATACTGCAAGTCTTTCTTCCTCGAATTCTTGGTCCAAAACTTGAAGGTCAACCGCATGGCGACAGCCACCAAAGAGATGGCACAAAGTTCCCCTTTCAGCAAGCCTCTTTCCTTCAAGCAGTTAAGCTGGCTGATCTTGAGACGCGTTTGGTACCGCCATCGGCCACGAGCACCGAGTTTCGACTCACCGCGTGCACTTGCGTGTCCGTCAGCTGCAAAATTAAGCGGTCAATGCCGAACACCGACACACGGGTGATGTAGTCTGCATCCAAGGCAACCGAAAGGACCTGGAAGCGACAAACTTGCAGCGACAGCAACGGCAACCGTTTTTGTTGCTGCTTTGATCTGTGTTGATACCTTGCCCTGACGACGAGTCATTGGAACCAATAGGAATCCCCAAATGAGGCTCGAAACCTCTTCGCTTTCGAAGGGCTTCCTTCGACGACGGCGTTTATTGAACCATGGATTCCACTGATCTTCAAAGCTGGGGCAGCGGCATAGCTGGAGCAGCGGGCAGCCAGCTCGGGAGATACAATCCTCAGCCAGCTCGCTTAAGCCGATGACACCAGGATGCCCTGCAAATCAATGAACATGTGGATGAACCAAATCATCACCAATCAATACAGTACATCCAAAATCATCAAATCATCAATCAATCAGATCCAATCAGCATATGTATAAAAGATCATAAAAGCATCACTAACCATCAATCAGGGCTAATCCGCCCCCGACCTGAAAACTGGGCAAGAAACATTGAGACCTCAGATTCGGTTAGTCAGTCAGCAGGTTGGGAGATACTGTAATATCGAGCTATATCGAGCTCGTCGTCGTGGTGGTGGTGGTGGGCCGCCTTCTTGTTTGTAGTACGAGTCGAAAGTATTAGAAAGTAGAAAGTAATTTAACGGGCAGCTTAGCTTGTCAAATGGTAATCCTTTATCCTCATCATCCACCTGGCATTTCTGCAAACATCTGCAAACCACCTCTCACTTTGGATTGGCATCAACTTGAAATCGAAGGGATGGTTGGCCGGAGTAGTCGAGCTACGTCCTTGCGGTCAGATTTGGCTCAGGTTGTCATCTGCACTCTGACAAGATTCGGGGAGGCTCCAAAGCCATATGCAAATGCTTGGCACATGGCTTGTGGGAACTCAGGTGCTGCCTTAGTCGGTGGTGAGAGTCACTCATCACCTTACAGGCTCTCGTGCGTTCTCCCCTCTGACAACTGTTCGGATCTTGGAACTCGTCTTTCATCATCTTCCCTCCACACTTGTAGGGTGTGAGATGTCTCTTTGGAGGAGTCATCTTCCGAAAACATGACTTTCATCTCAACTGACTCACAACTCAGCTCCTCACAGCCTTCGCACTACCCACGATGTAGCCTCGATCCACCGGTTCGACGTTCAAGAAGGAGTCCAAAGCCTCGCAAGCGGTTCATCGGCCCGAGACGTTCTATGGCTGGCCCGGTGATCGGGTCGGCGACCTCTTTGAGTTCATTCAGCCGAACATGTCGAACTCATCACTAGTCATTACATATCACATATAATCCTGGATTTGCATGATGTTACATCTCGATACTTCATGTTATGTTATGGCTAAAGGTGGATTTCCACTCAGCTGTGCAGCTGTGACCAAACCAGCAAAGTGCCTGTCCAAAAATATCAACAACTCAAGAATGTTCAACAACCATGCAGTTGCACAAAAAGAGTAGTACATGAGTCTCCTGACCATTCTTGACCCTTTCAAGTGCGGGCCTCCATTTCACTGCGTGGACCCAAGCACTTGGGAATGTCCGTCGTAGAGGTGTCCCCTTCTCGAAGCATGATAGCCACCTGAAACCACACAGGGTTAGTAGCATCTGCACAGTTTTTTCTCCATAACCACGTCTGATACTTACATCCAGTGTTCAGGCTGTTCCGGGGGAAAAGCGAAGCTTGATGGCTTCGTGAACGAAGCTTGCTCTGCGTTCCATACATCTTCATGCTGCCAGCGCCACCAGCTGGGCCACGTCAGCCCCCAGCGAGTGGCCCGTGCACACCAGGCGATAGCTGGGCCGCTGGGCGAGGCCTTCGGCCATGGCGGCGCCGGCGGAGCTCAAGATCCACCTGCCGCGGAGACCATACTGAGCGAATGGCCCAACAAACTCCCAGTTTCAACCGTTTCACACAATATCTCATCTGATTGATTTGATACATAGATCCACAAAAGTTTCCACACAAAGGCCACATGAACTGATATGAAAAGAAGCTCCTTTCCCCTTCGAACCTCGGCTACCCCGGCCTGGCAGCGCGCGCCATGCCGCTGTGCGCCAAGCCGCCCGCCAGGAGGCTCTCTTCGGCGGCCATGTCGGTGAGCACTGCCGACCACTCGCAGGAGCCACGCACGGCCAGCACCAGCCTCTCGGCCGAGCTTGGAGGGAGTTCGTGGGCTCCAGTGTAACCAAATGAGTGTTAGGTAAATCCGGCCTGCGCGTGGGATTTTGCTTTGAAGTCTCTGAACACAGGCATTGGCATCCGCTGATATCAACACCCCGCGGTCAAAGACTCAACTCATCAAAAGGGTGATGAAGCGAAGCAGTTGATGTGCGTTGGTCTAGTCTCTTGTTTTCTGCTTGCACCTCTTTTATGCTGAGGTGCAGTAGAGGTGATATGCATCTAAGTCCACCTTCGCCTAGCGCCTGTGTTATAGGTGAAACATCGGCCTAACTCAATCTCCCATCGCCCGGCCAGCTCATTCGATGCACCCAAAAGATCACAAAGGCGGGCTCGAAAGGCTTCTCAGTCCTTGTGTGTGTGTGTCAGGTCAAAACTGCTGCGACTTCCAGAAAACTCTCATAGAAAACCAACGAAAACACCTGAGAACTTGAGAGGCCAGCTGGAGGGTGACACGGCAATCCACCTCTTGCCGCCAAAATGTTGCTCCAAGATGCTCCAAGCCCAGGAGGGAAACAACATCGCACACGTTTGCAAACTCAGGGCAGGGTGGCAGGACGCGATGCTTCGCACTAAGTCCTAGACTGCCGTTTCCAAAGATTTGTGGCTTCAAGACAAACAACACCCATAATAGTGTCTTAGAGAAATCATCCTACAATGCTGAGATGCTGAGATTGTGCTCCTGCACTCTCCTAGGTCCTAGAGGCTTAGCAACTTCTTGCCGAAAACCAAACCCAGGCAACCACCAAGACTCCAATGTGCCACCAGGATGTCTTCCCGCTTGGCCCCGGTCAACTCCACAAAGGCCTGAGCCAGCTAACTGGTCTGTTGAACATATCAGAACGCCTGTTTTGGGTCCTTGTTCACATCTTGTTTGAACTGAATAAGTGAAGTGGAAAATCAAGCCTATACCCGCTCCCAAACATTGAGAAACCTCTCATCCTGTGCTCCTATGGCCTCATCCTGTGCATGAGAAGCTAGCAAAAAAAACACCTGCTGTCCCCAAACCAACCAACCCTCAAGTTCCCCTCCTCCACTGTTCTCAAGGCGATCCTAGGCAATTCGTCAACTACACAGCTTTCGGCAACCGCCCCACCTCAGTGTGATCCTCATCCTCCCACGTGCCGGCATAGGACTTTGCCGCCCCACCCAGGAAGCCGCTCACGCGATCCCCTGCGCCCTCGGTCGTAGGCCGGATTGGTCGCAGGTTGGTCCAGAAGCTCGAGGGGCGTACGCTTAGACTGAGGAAAAGGATGGAAAACGAATAAGCCTGAATAAGCTACTAGTTAGCAGCTGTTAGGTACTAGACACGCTCCTAGGCAGGATGCAGGATAGCTATGGATAGCTCACGCTTTTTCAGGGAATCTTCCCCCACCGCCCTCGCACTATTCATGTGGTTACTAGATTTTTAGGGAAACTTATATAGAACAACGTCCAAATATATTATATGGAAAAAGCACACGTGGAAACTGTCGAAACTGAGTAGTTTGACCCTTGGATTATGATGTCCTCCCAATCAGTTCCATGTTTCACTATGCTCCACATGAATCTTTAGACATCTATCCGACAGCTGTCGCACACAATTGGAACATGTCTAGCTTCACCTGCACTTGCACCACACGCGGTGAAATCTTTGCATATCTTTGCATGAACGTGCTGCTGCAGCGAACCAGTTTCTTTCCGTACTTCAGGGCCCGTGTAAGTGATGCAGCGAACCATCTAGAACCTTCTCACCATTTCATTCAGAAAAATGGCCGTGGAGAAAACCAACAAAAACACGAGTGAAACACTGGGATCTCACCGACCGAGCGCTGCACGCGGAGAGTCTCCCACCTTCCGCATCAGCGCTCCGTAGGCCGCGCGAGCGAAGACTGCGGCGAGAGCTGCACGCGGGAGGAAGCCCTGAGGACGGTCAAGGACGAGGCGCCGTAGAGGATTTCTAGAGGGCTCCAACGTGCAATTAGGAACCATGGGCTTCTTTAATTGGACTCTATGCCTTTTTTAGATATATTATAGAGAGATGTAGATATAACTATAGACGTGTTGCTTTTGCGTGTTAGTGTTTGCCAAGCTGAATCAGTGTTATTTCCGGCGAAAGAAAAGCTCTAACAGTGCCTTTTCCATAAAAAGAGCAGTTCCAATGCACCCTAGCCTCTTATTGGATCTTTGTCAAAGTCACAGGTTTGAGATGCTTCCCATTCATGCTCAACGTGACTCTTCTTCCGACTTTCACATTCTTCCAACTCTTTCTCTTGAAGCGGGCTTCACATCGCCGGTACTAAACAAAACAAACAATACATTCACTGTTCCAACCACCAAATGAGCCAGCACACCATACCGGGTTCCCGGTAGCACACCAACAAAGAAAGTCTATGATCGCTCATCCTGCTTGTCTATGCGCGTTGACCTGTGCTTGGATGACCGCCCCCCAAACATCGGCTCCTCTGTGGTGATATGCTCCGGGTGTCCCTGCCATGAGGTATGACAAAACCACACAGTGCCCTAGCTACGTTCGTAGCGTCCTTGTTACTAGCAGTGATGCCAGGAGCCCCTAGTAGCGTCCTTGCTACTAGTTGCGATGGCCTCCAAGCAAATAGCTTCTTGTTACTAGTAGTAATGCACCTGTTACTAGTAATATGAAGTTCTTGGTCGTTTGTTTCGCATAGAAAAAACATTGATATTCCACAGGTGCTAGTTGCACGTAAACCGCTTAAAACCTTCAGGCTGGTGAAACATCTGGAGGTATGCTCATTATTGGTAGCCAACAAACGCCAAACTGGCAACAAAACATGGTGAGAGATGAGCAGGATATGCATGAATAGTGTATAATAGTAATAATAACAATAATATATATATATACATACATATTCCTGACTTGGCATGGAAAAGAAACACGAAACTAGTAGAGCCCGTCTGCTATATCAAAGTATAGTCTTGAGGACATCTATATGAAAGGTTCCCAAGAAACAATAAATGATAAGACTATACCAGAATCCTAAAAATGAGGAGGAGGTGTTTGTCGAAAGACTTTCAAAGCTGTAAACACATTTGGAAAGACACAACACGGAAAACAACAACAACAACACGGAAAACAACAACAACAACAACAACAACAACAACAACAACAACAACAACTACTACTACTACTACTACTACTACTACAACTACAACTACAACTACAACTACAACTACAACTACAACTACAAACAACAGCAGCAGCAGCAGCAGCAACAGCAACAACAGAGACGAGAACCTTTTTCTGTTGCCGACCTATCGCACGGGGTTTCGGCACACAGTCTCGGGGTTTAGGCACCTTCTCAATCGATGTTTCACGAGGCTTCCCACCCGAAGACGTCCGACCTTTCGGCCGACCGAAGGATTTCGTCCGCCTGGCCCGACTCGATGGCAAGCTCCGGGTCGACCACCTCGAAGGCGGAGAGGAAATCCTCATATCGCCTCGACGAGAGGTGTCAACGGGAGGTGTCACGGTAGACGTGCACTTCGTGCTTGTTTTGCTTGGTTTCTGATGCTCAAATTGACAGCGCGAGTTGCACTGAGCTCAAAAAACACCATCGCACTGAAAGACTTGATCAATGGTACAAGAAATGACAATATATGTTTTTCCTAAAGCGCCGTACAGTTATTCCTTCATAAGCTGCCCACACCCGAGACTTCTGCGCAATGGATCTTAGATGAGCTTAAATTAATAAGCTAGCAGCTGAATTTCTCACCCATCTGCTTCAGGATGGTGAGAACGGCTTCATCGGTGCCTCTGATGCTCAGGGTAGAGCCGGAAGGGCAGGCTGGGGTCTGCCATGATGCTCAGGAGATCACCTCAATCGTCCGGCTGTTCATTCACAGTAAATCTGGTGGCCCCAAAAGCGATTTGGATCTTCAAGAGGCCCACCTGTTTGAGCAGTGAGGTTGGCTTTAAATGCCCTAAGACCTATGTAGTCTGTGTATCTGGCTTGATTGGAAAGCAGTTTCCTTTACACCCTCGGATTCCTAAAGCCAGGCTCCAACAAAAAGCTCGAGGAAGATCTCGCCTTCGGTTCCGACCCATCTCGTGACTTTGCTTTTCAGTCCGACGGACTCTTGTCACTCAACGTATCTCAAACTTCCAGGACAGTGGTGATATGTGGTGATAGCGCACAAACGTCTCTCACCGCTTAAACACAGCTTGCAGTGCTTGCGGTCATCTGCTGGTTTGCCAAGTCGGCTCCACAAGAACAACAAATACATAATGCGCTCCCTGCGAGGAACTCTTTGATCGTTTCCCCAAATGGGTCACCAGCAAGCTGCGGAGCATCTCCAATGCCTGGGGCTGTAGAAACATCGGAGATCATCGGAGTGCTTCCCGCTGGATCAAATAGGCAAATGAACATACTGTATATCACAGGAATTGAATGCCAAACCGTGTGAAATCATGTGGAATCACAAAGCCAGTTTCCACATGTTCTTAGTAGGTGTGGTTGTCGCGTTCTGCGGTTCCAGTTTGGGGCCCTTGGCGAAAATATCAGTTTGGGCAGTTACATTGATGGACCAAAGCGGACCTGACACCCACACACATTTCGGTCTAGAAACATCTAGAAACACCGTTGACGCCATTTGAGATATGATTCATATGATAGACTAAATTCTAACTCTTTGACCACCAGTATGAGTCTCCGAGAAAACCCCTGCAGAGTACCTCCGAGGAGGCTTCTGACTCCTCTTTGAGCCGCTCCATGGCAAAAATCTGCTTTGAAGAAACTCTGGCTTCGTTTCCGCAGGATGTCAAAAAGGGGGGCCTGGTCACAAGTCGTGCCTTTGCTCTTCCCAGGTGCTTTCAGTGGGGAATGATGAGTCCAAAGAAAAGAGGATTGATTACAATCCAAGGTCCCAAGGTCACTTTGAGCTCTTGACTTACAATCTGTTGTTGACCTAGCCTGTGTTCTTGTGACTTGGCAAAGTTGTGCTCTCAATTATTGTAAAACATTGTAAAACTGGGTTTGCTAATCGGAAGGAGCCCTTGAAGCTCTGTCTGTCTTCTCATAACTTTACTCCTTTGCAAGTTGATTCATCTGCAACAGTCAAAGCAAAATGGCTGCCTTTCCCGACAAACCTTTGTGCGGCTGACTCCGACCAAACAGAAAGTCGTCTCAATGCAGGTTAGGTCCTGGTCATTAGAGTCATTAGACCAATTGAGGGGACAACTTGCTGCAAATCCAAATTCCGTGAAGACCAGGTTGGAGCCTAAATCACTCTCTTGGGGTCGTTGTCATCACAAGGGTTGGTCCTCAAACATTGAGTTGAGACAGTCAGCCACATCTGTGTTTGCACTTGCGTCTTTTTCTAATCACGAATCCTGTTGGGTGCAAGGAGCAATGATTTCTCCTGCGTTTCTCACGACATAGTGTCTAGTAGGATGACTTCCTTGTCTTCTTGAAGCTCGGACCTGACCCATGGTCCATCATGCACCTAAAAGGGTTATATAAAGAAATAACTGACTCAGAGTCTGGTGTAAAGTACATTTAGATACATTTAGTTACCTGCTTGATCTTTTTGAGTTATTTTTTTCTCATGTTTTGTCTTGATTTCGTTGGTCCTTTGTGAATCCAGGCCTCGCAATGATTTGACTAGACCAAGGGATTGGTCATCGCCTCGTCGACCTTTCAAAGCTCCTGTCCTTCTCGTGTAGCTTTTTCAAATACTGGGCCACATGTCCGATCCTCGAGCGCCCACAATCATGTGGAGAGTGGCGTGGAAGCGCCACAATCATGCGGAGCGCAAAAATGAACATAGCAAAACTAACGAGCTCTCTAAAGTTTCGAGATAGTTTCTCCAATCTTCCACTTCGTGCACTGTGGCAGTCCGCATTCCCATGTCCGGTCCTGTTTCCGCTGTTTCCTTCTCAAGGAATTTTCAGGGTTTTCACCAAACACCAAAAGAGATTGTGGATCCGGCGCACCTGGGATCCATTCCTTCAAAAAGGCTCGGTGACAGGAGTTGGCAGGGAAAATGTTGGCAGTGGAAACACAAAGCTTCCTGTTTGTGTTCTGGAGGAGAACCACTGGCTGCATGGAATTGCCATGGTCAAGATTCAAGATCTCAATCAATTGCCCCTTCAAACCAACTCGTACAACGCCATATTAACCATGACACCAAAATAAACAATACTTATATAAAAGGCACCGTTAACCAATCCACGCAGCTCCTCAACACTGAATTCAAAGCACACCCTTCTCAACACGGACGACGACAATTCAAGCACAGTCCCGCGCCTCTGCGCATCTAAGTAGCGCTCCACGACATATGAGGGTTCTAGCGGCAAACCCAAATCCACGGTCTTGGCATAGATCTGAAGTGCCTCAGCACTTCAGCACACTGCTTGAAGATGAGGGATTCTTTGCCCCTCAATCACTCTCCACATAGAGCCACCCTCAGTGCACAAACCCGGCAGATCTGCCTGATCATAGGCTCGCTTCTCGAACAAGGCATCTCCATGTTGCCGATAGATCTCAGCCGTGACCTCGGAAGCCCCACATCGAATTAGCCAATGGACGATGGCACCCGACGGACGAACATCCGGCGCTGCAGCCATCACCGGCGGAAGCGTGGCAGTGTGACAAACCCATGGCCCCAGCCTCTGGAGCACCATTGGAGGTTAAGGCTACCTGAGAAGACTGAAGGAGTATACAAAAAGTCACCAAAAAACAATGAAGCAATATAAAACACATCAAACACCTCTAGAACCGGACATGTGGACGTCTGAAGGAACTCACAGTCTCCAAATTGACTTGGGGAAGTCTCTCCCTTATATCTTTTTAAACCACCTCCAGTGGTGACTGGGCTTACTGAAAGCACATTCACCATTTGCCAGGACAAAACAACTGAGGGCCTTGTGATGCTAGGCTGCTAGGCGCTACAGACTCAGAAAACTCCATCTCCCAAACCGATCACCGATCTTGCTACGATGATGAGGAATCAGGAATTTCGGGGAATGTCTGGCTGATTGCAAAATCAGCTGCCAAAAGACTTGCCATGGCAGAACCCCCGACGCTGTCCGTCGGTGCACAACGATCGACCATCGGTCGATGGTCGATACGAGCCGACGCGCCTCGGCGGCCCATTCAAACATCCGCTTCTTCACCAAGACGTCCTTGGCCGGAGCAAACTGACGAGCTGGAGTCACTGGAGTCCTGAGAATATGATACATATGTCATTCCATGTCATTCCTACATGGACACCTTGATGGCTTGAGATGGTTTGAGTGACACCTCATTTGGAGTTCTTTACTTGGCACAAGATTCTGGATTGGTTGGGTTGTTTCCAGAGGAAATGCTTGTGGCTTGAGGATCCTTGCGACCTGCTATTGTCCGCAGGGCAGTCATCAAGTGACTTGGCAATCCGTAGCTGCTCCTGGTCTTTGAACCTCTTTCCAAAGGCGATCAGTTCATGTTTTGCCACATTCAGTGCCAACCACGCGACCAGCCGCTCTGAGAGGGGCTTCTCTTGTAGCTCAAAAAGGACCTCAGTCGATGAGAACAAAACACAATAAAACAAAGAACGCAGCTGACCCCGCAAATTTCCTCCCGAAAGCCAAGACAACCCCCATGTCCGGATTAGCCCTAACATGTCATGGGAGGGTTTGAACATGTTTGAACGATGTCCATTTGGCACATACATGGTCGCTTGGCATCTGTGGGGGGATCAAACCACATTCACTCAGGATGCTTAGCAGTGAAATTGACTTGCAAGGCTTGTCTGCACGTATGCACATCAAAATATAATGTATGTTGATTCTGACTTGCCTGGATGATTGGGGACACCCCGCTGGAACGACGAACTCTAGCAATTCATGTTTACTTCAATGTAAGTCCTGATGGTGTTCCAAAAAGCCCAACTAAAAGAATGTTCTTTCGGCACGGCAGAGCATCTTCGCCTAAAGACAAAGTGCCTAGCAATTCTTCAAACCAGTAGAGAACTGATGAACAGTGGGATAAACCTGCCAACCCCTTGGCGAGTGGATCCAGCTCGCTGAGATCTCTCCTGTTCCACTAGTGTAAGGTTGTGTCACGGTTGCGTCTGGCGGCAAGAACCACATGACAAGATGGGGGTGCTAAGTCCAGCAATGCTGCATGCGCGAAAAACGGCAACCACGAGGGTCACCCCGTGTGTCTTTGGACTGTCATTGTCCGTCTTCTCTTTCAACCGAATGCGTGGAAGACTGGGTCTACCACTTCAGAGTCATCATTCAACAGTGTCTACACCGGTTGACTGCGTGACAAGTAGAGTTGACTTTGTGGCAGTCCATGAAAAACACCTCTCAGTGATGTCCGTGATGTCCTGCTTTCAGTTGGATGATTGATTGTTCGGACCTCATGTTTCACTGTTTCACCCTTTTACTTCTCTCACTTGTTGCTTTACCTCCTTTTCATTCCTTTTCCTCGCTTTCCTTTTAGTGATGCTGGGCTAGTCCCTTCGGCGCGCTTCGACGGCAAATATGCTACGTCGACGTCCTTAGTGACTTTTGAAGCTTTCCAACCAAATGCTTTGATGGTGTCGTTCACTGGCTTTCCAACCGTCGAAGTCTCATCCAAATCTCCTCGGACTTCTGACCACACCATACCTTCCCTCGATTGCGTTGATTGGCATGGGGAGTCCAGATATTGCTGAAACGAACGCGACAAACACTTTTCAAGACCCCCTATATGATTCAATCACTTTTAAGTCCGAGGCATGGAAGTGATGGAAACCAAATCGCTGCTTCCCGATCCATTTCGCACCATCTCTGTGCAGTTCAATGTATTTTTGTTTCAGACTTGGTGGGTCAAAGTCCACTGATGTACCCATTCTCATACATCCTACCGATTCTCACGCACTGGTCCGCCGTTGATTCATTAAATCGTCACAACCTTCCTGTGACTCAGCGCAGTGTCCCGAGCGGCGGTGTTGCCATCAGCGCCCCCTCGTGAGACCAGGTAGATCTTCCCAAGCGCCTTCACGACATGGGTCACGTCCGTGAACTGGCTGGTCTCAGAGGCGAGAGGAACGAAGAACCAGTCAACTGGTTCTGTGCACGCATATCCCTACCCATTAACCCATAGGGTGGGGATGTTTGCATCATGTTCTCAGATTTGCAAGTTTTACTGGGTTTTTCTTGCAAGAAACCTGACAGAGTTTGTTTTCCTGTGTCAAAAAATCTAACAAACCTTCTTGAATGTGAAGTACCATGCAGTACCCATCTCATGCACCAAGAATTGATTCACTTTGCTCATCCTGCCTTGGTTATCTCTTGTCTTGTGCTGTGCCAGAACGTACAAAGCTGCAATAGAATCCAATAGAATCCCTTGCCAAATAAGTCTAGAACATGCATGTAAAGCACACAACATAGCTCTCAAGGAAATCAATCCCTGCAAGTCCAAACGTCTGAGCAAAGGTCGTCGTGGATTTTGAGGATATGGCTGAAAATTAAAGGACACCGACTCTGACCGAAGGAAATTCAAAGCCGAAAGCCAAAACCTCAGGGGGGTATTACTAATCAAGAGTCAACAGTATTTTATATATAATGTCCATGAATGTCCTAAGCTTTAAGAGTTGTCATTCAGCCTAGGCCTGGAACTATCGTGTCCCTTACGGCCTCCAAAGCATCAATCATCTCCTTTGCGAAGGGCTTCATTGACTCATTGACTCCCCGAAAACCGAGGAAACCGCTGATCTTTGGCACTTCACTCATCACTCATTGTTCACCCCTTCGGGCGTCATCACTTCCAGGGAGAAACATCTCGAGAGGTTGGTGTATGATGTTCGAGGATTCGACATGCCTTTACCCCTACTCCCATATCTCACCAGTTTCGATGAGAGGCAAAGGCAATGAAACGCATTTGCTTCTGCGCCAGCACCACTGTTACCTCATTGGAAACACGAGGAAAATCCACTCAAAAAGCATGCAAAAACAGGTTTATGCTGGGCCCATGAGCGCCGTCAACAACCGTAAAAGGCAATTGGCCGGTGAGCAGGCCGGTGGCCACCCTGGGCCAGTCAGACCTTTCCAACTTTAGTCTATTGAAATGATCCAGGAATTCCAAACCCAAACATCGACAAATGCCGGAAACACCTGCATAAAAACCAACCTGAAAGCAATGGCCTCCAACCTAATAGCGGAAACACCTGCATAAAAACCAAATCGCTGCACACGCACAAATACACGACAGAATAGCACACTTGAAAGGCCCGCTGGGCACAGGTCGTGTCTCGTCCTGCAGGTCGTCGATGTGGGAAAAACCTCTCACCTTTTTAATAGCTTGTTACTACTAGTAAGGCACTTGTTACTACTAGCGTGGCACTTGTTACTAGTTGAATCCCAGAATTCACACCACTTGCCGTTCCAGTCACTGTCTGCTTCGGCATAGAAGCTGGTCTTGGTGGCACAAGACAGAGTTCTGCACATGAGACCACAGCAAACGTGAGTATCTTCGGCCATACCAACAACTTGGCGTTTGGTGGCTGAACAATGCCTTCTTGGTTGGTAAACGATATCGTTGCTGGCCAATTCCACATGAAAAAGACTCCTTTTCGGTTAAAGCAGGGTCCTTTCTCAAGAACTACCCTTCTGTAGACTGGTTGAACTCCTAGATTCTATCAGATACCTTCCACCCCAGCTGTTCCCAGCCATCCAGGACTCCAGCAACGTGTCAAACGCCTAAGTCTCCAGGCCCTGCAGTGAAGCTGACTGGAGCAGCACTGGTGTCACTGGTCACCACCTTATTCGAGCCAGTCTGTGCGCGATTATATAACAGTTATTGAAACTGAAACCAACGTTGCCCATGTAGGGAAGGGCTGTGCACAAGCTGAAGTGGCTCATCACCGGGACATATCAGTGTCTATCTCTGGGTGAAAGTAGTCAGCACCAGAAATTCCACTTAGCCAAGCGCTGGAACCGTGCACATGGGGTTTTAAACCACTGAGACCACCGATTGGCCACCTACCCCCGTCCCTGGGAGCAAGGCCACAAAGTAGGACTGGAAGCGCTTCAAAATCACCTGCATTCGCAGACCGCTTGGTGATCAAATTACCGATTCAAAGACCGCACCGATCGAACCGGGGGGGTGGCGACATACGCTCAGTCGAGTCACCACCAGTCACGGTGCGGCCCGTCAGGCATTGGGAAACGGACCTAAGAGTTTGGGAAGGCAACTGCTCGACTGCTGGTGTGTACCTGCAGCCAATTCGAGTCTGTTGAACATCTTTCGGCAAATAACGGGAGTGTGAGTTAACTCTTCCAGGGTGAGGGTGCTGGTGAGCCCTATGTTAGTTTGTCGAAATGTAATGGCCTTGGCCAAAATTCCGATTTGGACCCTTGCGTCTTTCCAGAGAGCGCCGTAGCAGCGCACCTTCTGACCATCCAAAGGCATGGCAGACCTCGCAAAGCTTCAGTGGTCATTTTGTTGTGCAAATTATTGTGGAGCTCCTCTCAGCAGGACTTCCAAGACCTGAGGGTTTTAAGAACAAATATGAGATTATGATCCTCCGGATATTCTCTTGTCCAAAAAGCTCTGTTCTGCCATGCTGCATCAATCCCCTTACGCTACACCTTACTCAGCCACTGCACGCCTGAAGTGGGCGCTTGTCAGACTACATGTCCGAAGAAAAACTATGCCAATGCCAGTACTTTTTACATTTTACAACATTGCAACAACAGCTTGCGCATGGCTTACACATGGTTCGTTTCTCAAGCTTCAATATTGTGTCAATATGACACAGCTCTTACTTATATATATATATATGGGTGTTGATCTAAATATATATATATATATGTATATGGGTGTTGATCTAAATTCCTTTAACCGGGATCCGTCATCTTAGCCAACAAAAACTACTTTAGCCAAATCGCCCTCCTGCGTTTTATCATTCGCCGAAGTATGTTGTATTTATGTGTGCCATGTATGTTGTATGACGGATATCAATTTTGTTCACGTCAATGGCTTCTTCTTTACTGGCAAATACAAATACAAACTTCACTGCTTGTCAGCATGTGTCTTCTACTTAACTGTTGACACCCTGTATGTATCTTTTGTTTCTCCTGGGTGTCAGCAAGAATCAAACATGGCAGGAATCATTGTAGTAGCCGGTCACTCAGACTTACTCATAATGGGCTGTGGGTCAGATGTGGCAGGGTGAACTTTCGCCAATCTTGAGCTGAACTTTCGCCAAACTTCCGCCTTTTGCGGGGTAGAGTTTTGTGGCAAAGCCACCCCCCAAAGCAGGAGCAGGAGCAGGAGCAGGAGCAGGAGTAGTAGTAGTAGTAGTAGTAGTAGTAGTAGCTGCAGCAGCAGGAGTAGTAGTAGTAGCAGCAGCAGCAGGAGTGTAGGAATAGTAGTGGTAGTAGTAGTAGCTGCAGCAGCAGGAGTAGTAGTAGTAGCAGCAGCAGGAGTGTAGGACTAGTAGTAGTAGTCGTCGTCGTCGTAGTAGTAGCAACAGCAGCAGAAAGAACATCTTTAGCCATATCTTTCGCCAAAAAAAATTGTTGCTTTCGCCAACTCGAGAAAAAACTTTCGCCAAATGAGATTTTGATATGTTCCGGGTCATCGTCATCAACAATCCTGTCTAGGACCTTTAGATCGACAACCATATATCAAACATGCACACAAAGGTGTTCCGAATGGCTCAGCTCCCTCCTGTATACAGTGCTAGGCAGAGTTGGCAACATATCCACTTTGTTCATGTCATGTACAAATTTTGGCAGGCAAACTACCGCTGAAACCTTCCAACCCCATTGCCAAATGTCTGATTACAGCCGGTCCAAAATCCGCCGTTCTTTGCGTGGCCGGGAATGTTGGTTGCCCTTGCGACCTTGTGAAGTCCTAATCTTGTGGGGGGGTTGTCAACAAGTATACATCACATTCTCAAGACTCCAAACTTGAACCTGACCAAACTAGCAAGAGTGCGATGACAGTAAAATGTGTCACATCGAAGAGTTCTCTTGCTAGCCTGTAGTGGCAACATCCAAGAATTGGAGAAATGCACAAACATCCCAAGCGCTCTTAAACGTTGACACAACCCGCTCTTCTGCTGCCAAGGGGACATATTGCCCTCTTCTGGATCATAGGCAAACACAGCATCTGGCTTCGCCACTAGCAATGCCTTCGCAACTGGCGGATCAGCAAAAGCAAAACAGCTCAGTTCTGATCAGTTGATTCTTCTATCCACATAAAACTTCATGTTCGGTTTTTGCTCCCTTCCATTCCAGTGGCGCTTTCTCTCCAAACCAAGTGTGGCGCATTCATCCCTGGGAAGGCACAGGCACACATGGGTGCTGCGCCACCAGTGGCATCCACATTGAGGAGGCGCAGCTCCTGGGATGCACGGCACTGGATCGATCCCCTGAGATCTACGCGTAGATTCGCCGTGGTCTCTTGGACTTAAATATACGTGTATATATATATATATACTGTTATATAGAACCTATATATACACGCATTAGTACACATTAAATACCTATGTTATATGACTCGTGGACATAGATTCAAGAGATCGTCCATGGCAGCTGTAGGTATCCACTCCGGTATCCTTTCCTTTGATTTTGACTGTCTACGTGAGAGAAGTTATTCAAGTCAATTCAATAAAAGGATACACAGGTACTTACAAACAAGTTAAAGTAGAACGTATTTACCAACAGCTGGGAGGTCAGGTAATCCTTTACAACACCCTGAGCATGGCTGCCTGATGAACGACGCTGCCACCATCCCATACTCGCCAGGAGCAAACGCTCTGACGGGTGCAAGCAAAGAGAACGACTTTGGATCCCTGAGCAACGCCGCAACTGAGGGCGAAACTGTGTCTGGGGGTTTTAAGCTTGAAACAGTGGGAATCTGAAACAAAAAAGAAAAGAAGTCATGATATGGTATTGCAGCAAGGGTGTCGATTTCATATCCGAACTTGAATGCTACATGATCTCAAAGAGTTGGCATCATTAGAACTACAGTAAATTGTTGACCTTCACTTCATCTGTGGGCGGCCCCGCCAGCTACTACTTGAAGGGAAACTTGGAGCCATTGGCCAAAACGGTTTATAGGCACTGGTGGACAAAAGGCTACGTCTGACCTAGCTGCGTTCAACTGCCACCCTGTGACTTTATACTACAGTACATCAACAGCTTAAGTCACACCATCATCGATGGAGGAAAATGACTGGGAAGTAGATAGTGCAAAGCCTGGTCCCCCAATTGGGAAGCGCGGGTAGGGGTGACTTTCAAATTGCTTTGCTCAGCTATATTTCGCATGCACAATGTAGACTTGCAATGCCGCGAAACCCATGGAAGAAGCTGAGCATCCAACATGTGCATGTTCCATGTAAATTCCTTCCCTAAACAATTATATTCCCCATGCTGCACAGGAGGGATCCAGTTAGCTTTCCTGCAGTTTGCAGGCCTTTGTCCTATTCATCCAGGAATTTGCTGGGCAAGGCCCAGCAACACAAATATGATCCAATGACATATGATATGATATGATATGATATCCTATGCATGACAATTCGACCCAACACCCACAGTAAGCATGATGACCCAAGAGCAAATGTCATAGGTTGGCCATCTATCCATATGAAGTGGCGGCCAAGACCGGTTACCGCGCCTGCTCTAAGAACTCAATGGAGGTGACCTGTCTGTGGAGCATCTTCGCACCATAAAGACACCCAGTCTCAGGGCCACTGAGCACGACGGTGGGGTGTTGTGTTGGAAGTTCCATTCAAGCAGCCAAACAGGTTGCATGGAGGACTGTTGCATACTGTTGCTCTTCTTCACTACAGTTCCTTTCCCAGTTTAATTACAATGTCCTCTATGTTAAACGAATTCTTGAAATACAAGGCTCACTGCCACCATGTAGTAAGCTCACTCATCTGACTCATCTGTGCTTATTTTGCCACCTTGTGGGGAGAATGAACCACCTTGAATGACATGATGAACCGTTGCAACCCGCCTCCTGACTTGAAGAAGATCCATCCTGCGGGATGGAAACGGGGACACGTGACACGTCCTCGAGTTGGACATCTAGAGCTTTGGTATCCTTGGAACAGGAACATCTTAGAATTCCTGGAAAACAGGATTCGAGGAGCCAAGCTTGGAAGCAAGAACTGTAGGATTGTTAGATCATTGGTTACTATCGAGGTCTTGCTTCCTTTGTCACTGGAGTCGCCGCAGTCATCGGGCATTGTGAACACACCTTAAAAACTCATGCCGTCAATCAACAACCTGCGCAAATGGCAAACAACTGCAGAAACTCAATACAGTACCCTCAGCTTCAATGAAGTTCTCCAGTGACATCGCAATGAATCCCAACATTAAAGTCATTTAAGTCATGATGGATTCAGTAAAGGTGCATTACATTGCATTACACACACACTTCTTGCACTACCTCTGTGTAGAAACATGTGTATATACTATGGATATTTATATAGAAACCAAACAAAACCAACCTATTCACTCCCAAATTAATCAACTTCCAAAGTTCTTGCTTCAAATACACGTCACGGATGGATATGACATGATATGACTGTCCCAAACGTAACGTGGACTCTTGCGCTGCATCCCTCTTTGCACATCCCATTTTAGCTATAGTTGGCATATTACAAGGCATGTCCATGGCACCCCCTTTACAAGCCCTGTCACAGGAGGTTGAGTACCATGAACCAGCTCTGTTTTGAGGCTCCAAGGTGGTCCAACTGGTCTCAGGAGCCACCTCTTCCGATTCTCAGCGACGAGACCGACGAGACAGCTGGCTCAGCTGTGGGGAACTGGCAGGACACCCTACCAGTCAAACTCGCGGCAAATGGTGGGCCAGGGCCCTTTGGGGCCCCAGGTTTGGGCACAACCGACGAGTCTGTCTGTTGGTGGTTTCTGAGCGGTTTCCAGGAAACATTCAGTGGAAAATTTGGACTCACTCTCGACTCTCGAATCTTGAGATTCAAAGATTTGGGAGTCCTCCAAAGCCAATGTGGTCGGGTAGGGTTTCTCCTGGACAAGGTCCTGGAAACGACTCAGATCCGCTGTCGATTCTGGCGAAAGTCATTCAACCGGTCAACTCTGCGAGTAAGACATGCCATGACTTCAAATTCTGTTCAGAATGTATCGGCTCAGGTGGATACACAAAAACCAGGAAAATTAGTACTAGGAGGAAGGACCCTACTAGGGGCTCCTGGCCTTACTACTAGCTCCTGGCATCGCTACTAGGAGCAAGGACGCTACTATAGGGGCTCCTGGCCATACTACTAGTAACAAGAAGCTACTAGGGGCTCCTGGCATCGCCACTAGGAGCAAGGACGCTACTAGGGGCTCCTGGCCCTACTACTAGTAACAAGAAGCTACTAGGGGCTCCTGGCATCGCCACTAGGAGCCAGGACGCTACTAGGCGCGCTCCCAGCCATACTACTAGTAACAAGAAGCTGCTGGGGGCTCCTCGCTACTAGGGGCTCCTGGCAACGCTACTAGGAGCAAGGACGTTACTAGGGGCTCCTGGCCTTACTATATACTAGTAACAAGAAGCTACTAGGGGCTCCTGGCATCGCCACTAGGAGCAAGGACGCTACTAGGGCTCCTGGCCTTACTACTAGTAACAAGAAGCTACTAGGGGCTCCTGGCATCGCTACTAGGAGCAAGGACGCTACACTAGGGGCTCCTGGCCTTGCTACTAGTAACAAGAAGCTATCGCTGCTAGGAGCAAAGACGCTACTAGGGGTGCTCCCGGCCTTACTACTCTGCCGACGCGGACCTGTGCCCGGAAGAGTTGCAAGGATGAGGCACTGCTGCCGACAGCCACAAGTCCTGGCGAAAGCGAAAAGAAAAACAGCTATAAGAAAGTCAGCCATCCGTCTGTAGGGTTTAGAGGCACTAGTTTGGGGTAGACAAACAAATATGCAAGATCTTGTATTTCAATGTATTTGCAATCAGAACTTCAAACTTCCTCTTCGAACTTCCTCACACGACTCTGTTCATATGTATTTCAATAGCCGCTATCCTTAAGTCGCCTCCAATCCCAGTGCTGGAGACCTCCCCACAGCTCCTGCTCGGCCAACTGAATAGGCGGCAATACAACAAGCCTCTCAAGCACTACATCCGCAATCCACCCCAAAAATGGCAGGTTTATACTGTTTTGTGGCAGTTGATCCTTTGGAATCTGATTGACGAGGGAGGAGATTGGAATCCTGGAACTTGCTTGATCTGCTTGTGCTGGGAGTCCTTTCAGTAACTAAGAGGACGTACACTGTACACCACAAGATTTATGGCTACGCCGAAGGGAAGAACATTATATACCTTCCTTGTTAATAAAGCCACAAACTACTTTTGAAAGCAGCTGGACATATCAAAAACTGCCTTGCACTTATCGTTCAAGAGGGAAGCCTTTTGCTTTTTCAGGTTTCAGCGAACTTCTTATGTCCCACCACGACCACTCTTTACAAAATTGGCAATCGCTGGTTTTGGCTGCTGCGCTGCTCGTAAGGCTGTGATGACATATGTGACGACATATCATCTCGTGAAATAAAACCTGTCCGCTGTAGCCAGGATGTCCTTGCTGGCTTCTTTCACGCGTGTGGCGAAAGAATTTATAAAATCTGTGAAGATCTGTCAGAGGCCCAAACGCCCATGGACCAAGAGGAGTGACCTGAAAAATCCGATGAGAACACTGACGACCAATGCAGGTCACCACTCCAAACATGGACTGTCTATGGAACATAGATTCAGGTGAACGTGACCCAAATCAAGCAAAACTAGGCCAATCTCTGCCCCTTCGCCAAGCAGTTGATTGCTTGCAGCTCGGGGGTCGAAAGAGAGCTTCTTGGATGCCAACTCCCGACGTAGCACTTGGATTACGAGCACTTCCCGGGAAGAGTCCAGAAGATCTTTGTCTTCTACCCGGCGGGTGCTGTGTTGAAAAGCTTTCCAACAAGTAGCTAAGTAGCTGCTGTTCTGGTGAAGAATACTGAATTCCTTTCACAAGGAAAGTTCGAAACCCATGTAGCAAGTGGGAGTGCCCCAGAAACCCTGGAATCAAACCAAAATTCGATGGCGTCCAGTGAAAGAAAATGGAGGCCCTCGCAGGTATTGAAGATGCTCGTGACCTTGGTGGAGGAAGGGCCAAACCACCATTCCACTACGGCAATCGCCAGCAATGGATCCTACATGATCCTACCATCAGGTCTGGACATGTATGTGCATGCCTGGATGTACTACACATGTCAAACGCAGCTAGACAATTAATTCACACATTGCAGCCAGGCCAGCCTCCAATACTTCTCAGACCCTTCTCGAATCATGAATGGAACAATGCAAAGCAAACCAAAGAGCGTGCAAAAGTAGTATATTCAAAAATGGTTCCTTAGTCCCTTGAACTTCTCCGCAACATACCTTAGTGTACCCTGCACCCCTCAGCCCACTTGAAAAGTCTATCACAGCAGATTGCATATTGAGAATTTTCTAGAACATCATTCCAGGAAGGCACATGGGCACCAGAGTATTCTGAGAACTTCTGGCAACCCAAAGTGATAGGCACTAGAGGCCCCGTCTTCCCCAGTTGCTTTGTTCAATTCTTGGCCAGGGGCTTCCCTCACATCACAGCCAAACCAGGAATCACAGCTTGGCTGTTGCTTTCCATGCACCGACAAATCCAAATATCGGGGATCCGATTCATCACGATCAATGCAGCATCTGAAGGTGAACACTTGAAGGCTCCTCTGTTGGATGTGGAGATCCGCTTGTTGAACATGGAACAGGTCCGACAAAACAGACTTGACCAGGTCCAGGAGTCCAGAAATGGCTTGCCCGTGTTGTGTTTTGGAGACATCCCTCCTTCCAATTCGGTCATAACCTGTTTGGACATAGCAGAAGATCCTCTTATTCCTTTGATGATCTCCTTTGAACAACTTCGTGTTGTAGCAGTAAAAACCATCCACTGGTCTCAAAATAGGCAACCTTACACAGCTACCCTGCATCCCCTCCGTGCTGTTTTGTATTGACTAAATGGCTGTCACTGCATTTGGAACCTACTCAAATGACCGATAGCGGGCAACATGAAACTATTCATACGACATGCATTCAAACGAATGCCAGCAAACCATGTTGTTTGCATTTTCCAAGGCACCGCACATTGACCATCAAAGGCCTGGCATATCTTCGGGCATCACGAACTTCAAGCAGTGATAGCCTTGCCTCATCCAGATCTCTCAGCAGGGAATATAGTACAAACACTCTGTGAATGTATTGAATGTAATATGTCTACATTCTATTGTAACCCCTGAAACCACCCCAATGTAGGTAAATATGCCACGCATGGAGTGTCTGAGCATTATATGCAAGGAGTGTCTGAGTATTATATGTAGTTTATCATTGTGTCGTGTTCGATTAATGATCACCTGAAAGGCCCATTGATTGTGAGGCATGCTGATTTGGGAGTTGATCTAAATTCCTTTATCCGGGATCCATCATTTTCGCCAAACAAAATTTATTTTAGCCAAACTTTCGCCTTCCTGCGTTTTATCTTTCGCCGAAGTATGTTGTATTTATGTGTGCCATGTATGTTGTGTTTTGTTCACGTCAATGGTTTCTTCTTTACTGGCAAAAACAAAATGGAAACTTCACTGTTTGTCAGCATGTGTCTTCTACTTAACTGTTGACACCCTGTACGTCTCTTTTGTTTCTCCTGGGTGTCAGCAAGAATCAAAATTGCAGGAATCACTGTAGTAGCCGGTCACTCAAACTTACTCATAATGGGCTGGGGGTCAGATGTGGCAGGGTGAACTTTCGCCAATCTTGAGCTGAACTTTCGCCAAACTTTCGCCTTTTGCGGGGTAGAGTTTTGTGGCAAAGCCCCCCCAAAGCAGGAGCAGGAGTAGGAGTAGTAGTAGTAGTAATAGTAGTCGTGGTGGTGGTGGTGGTGGTAGTAGTAGTAGTAGCCGCAGCAGCAGCGGGTTATCTAACTTCCACAGCTCATCTAACTTCTGAGTCACTGCCACCCACTGTTCAGGAAGCAAATGAACATTCATACAAAAGTACATATTTAATCTTTCGCCAGATCTTTCGCCCAAAAAAGAACTACTTTCGCCAACTCGAGAAAAAACTTTCGCCAAATGAGATTTTGATATGTTCCGGGTCATCGTCATACACAATGCTGTCTAGGACCTTTAGATCGACAACCATTTAGATTGTTTCACGAACATCACATTCGCAGTGCATCCGATTATTAGTTTGAACTTGGGATCCACCATGCAAGATGTTGTTCCCCGTTCATTGAGGAGACAATATGGTTTTAACTCAAGGACGTCATGCTCATTGCGCTGCATAAATTCACCAGTTTGGGACACGCTGGAGATACTGAGATAGTAGCGGGAAGATGATCCAATTCGATATAATACGATCCTGTCCACTGTACATCCTGCGGGAACATTCTCAAGTAGGTCATGGTCTGCTGTAGATCTATGACCTCCGCCCCACTTGGCCAAGTCCAAGTTACTTGGGCTTCGAAGCGCTGATGCCTTCAGGGCGAGTCCAAATCTCCTGAGCGCTGATTTCGCCGTTATCACTGGATTTCACACGCAAACCATCGGAAGGTCTGCACACTCCAACTTTAACGACTCAATTTGTCTTTCCGGTGGTCTGATCAGTTTCTTGAGACCGTGGAATGCGGCCAAATTATGCCAAACCACCAAACGACGGCCAAAGCCGTTGCTGCCGTTTCTGCCGTTGCCTGTTCTATTCCGTCTCTCCCTTTTGGCCGAGTGGCACAGCGCCCGGAGTCCTGGTACCCGACACCCTTGCAATTTGAGTGGAACAAGCAGCGCTGCAAGCATTCCTCCAGTGACTCCGTGGTGCTGACCTGGGAGTTACATAATGCAAAATAAATGCGTCCAGTTCACGTAGTTTTGGAGAATCTCGGGCGCCTTTCGTACATCAAATCTTTCTTCAGCGGTCTTCTTTGCAAAGGTGCTTGGACCACCAAGGAAGGGACCTGGCGATAAGTCTTCAGACCCTTAGATCTCCAAGCAGCTGGAAAACCACCGTCCCACCACCGTCCCGCCTTAAAATACTGGGTGGCCTTGTCACTCGGATTGGCTCCACGGCAGGCGTGCCCGCGGCCACTGAAGTTGTTGACACCACGGAAGAAGCTGCCAAGGGCAGAGGAGACCCCATGCTCTGAGAAGGCCAACCTGTCGGATTGGACAAGGGGCAAACTGCCCACAACCAACCAACACTGACCGAAGCGCCGAAGTGGGTGTCTTTTTGAGAAGTGGTTGGCCAATGTCAAGAGTATGGGCAAGACCCCTACCACCAGTCGTTCGGGGTCATTGGGCAGTATCAACCAAGAAACGGTGAGGTGGACTATGACTAAGGCTTAGTAAGGGCTTTATCGGGTACAACATGATCAAATGATCTTGCTTGGTCGACAAGGTCACAAGCTCTCCATCTTCCGCTCGCTAAACGCCCAAACAAGAAAATTCATCCCACGCAACAGCAAAGATTCAAAGTGTAGACTGTAGGCATCTTTAGGGCAATGATCATCCCCAGGGTCCACCAGGGCCGCGTGACAGCAGACCAAAAAACAACAAACGGCTGCTGATCATTAAAGAACGGTGACACGCACTGAGCACATGAAAGATTCACGTGAACTTTGTGATGCCCACGCCATATATATATATATATATTTAATCCCTCCGCCCAACAGGGGACCCCCGCGAAGACCCCCTCAAGCACCCCCATGTACAAATGATGAGGTTGTAGTATTATGTTGAAGAAGTTAGGTTTCCACTGGGTTTGGTAAAAGTAAAACATTGGAAACATAGGACATACATAGCATCCACATTTGGAAACAAATTGGAACAAAACGAGAAACACATAGAACAAAAACAACATATGTTTTCCTATTTTGTACCATATAACTGCAAACTTAGCAACACATAGAAGATAATTGGTGGAATCGTTTTTCTTACGCTGACGGTTCTTGTTTGCTAAGGGCTGGAGGGTTCTTTGTTCTGCGGATGGTTCTTGAAAAATCTCTGACATAGTTCTGACTGTTAGCAATTATACAATCTCTTTTGGTTGAGGACTTTTGCAACAGATCTCCAGTCCTGATTGTTGAATTCATCAACGCATTTTCACATGTTTCTAAGGGACAGTGTTCAATAGATGTTTTCTCCAAACCTATGACCTTGACAGTGAAATGATGCCTATCTACTGTAACAATATATATTTATATGTTGTTAGAAAAACCTTTGATGGTAAGATATATAGACTATTTTGGAACCAATCGGTTCCTCAAGGTCTGTGCGTCTGAAGATGCAAATTGGACGGGCTTTGCAATGCATGTAAGAACAATCGGTTTGCGAAAATTTCAAGAACCAATCAAAAACCATTGAACTCCAATGGGACAGTTGCAGCACTGACTCTTCAACTAATTTACATGAATATAAATATGAATATAGATACTGGCTTTATGTTGAACTGAATGAAACTTGGCATTGGAAACGCAAAAATAAATAACAAATGACAAATAAGAAAATATTTAGGACCGATATTAGGAAAATAGGAAAACAAACAACATATAACAAACAAAAGGAAACATATTACCTGTTTTTGGTCAAATGTTTGGCCCCTTCAAGCACAAAAAATCTTTTGCGCACACAACCGGTTGGAACTCCCAACGACTGATTACAAATTATTTGCGCTGCCTGGGCTCCGTCTAGCTCTTCGCACATAATTTTGGAGCAGGTTTCCCAGCATCAAGGCCGTCTCAAATTCAGGAACTGTGTGAATATGGTTGAAGGTTCTCAAGAGCGTATTCTGCTTGCCTTTGCAAATTCTCAAGAGGCGTCCGCTGGAGAAACTCCTTGCACAGGTGTCCTTTTAGCAAGTACCCTTGCCCATGCTTCAGAGGCGCAGACAGTCCAAGCGCCATGAAATCTCGCACGAAATGCGTGTCAAGTTGTCCAACACTCAGGGGATATGGCGATTTCAATTTCAACTTGTAACCCGCAGCCCTCTCGCACAAAATGCGTGTCAAGTGTCAGAGACTGCGGGAGGATTGCACTTTCAATGTGTAACTCGCAGCCCTTTCGCACAAAATGCGTGTCAAGTGTCACAAACTGAAGAATATTGCGAGTGCAAGATGTCCACGGTGAACCCTCTGCGGAGATCGTGCGTGTCGAGCGCTCAAACGTGAGGTGCAATGGGAACTTTGTTGCCGAAGTAGCTGTCGTCCAAAAGGAAGGCGGCGGTTGCCAAAGTTTGTAACTGTCGTCGAAAATGAAGGTGAAGTTGCTAGAGTGCACAGCTGTCGTCGAAAAGGAAGGTGGACGCGCGAAGTTGTAACCGTCGTCGAAAACGAAAGCGGACGTTGCCAAAGGTAATTGTCGTCGAAAACGATGGTGGAGGTTGCCAAAGTGAGTATAGCTGTCGAATGCGAAGGATGGAGGTTGCCCAATTTGTGTAACTGTCGTCGAAAACAAACGTGGAGGTTGCTAAAGTGTGCACCTGTCCGGAGAAATGGCCACTCTGTATAATGTAGTACTGTAGAACCAGCTTCTGAGCGGCTAGCGAACTAGTCTGTGGCACACCCGAGGGCTAAATTGCGCTTGTCGCTGTGCCATGCGGCTTTGCACGGCCGTGGAAAGTGCCATTCCGTGAGTCCGTGCCATTGGGGGAAGGAACACATGCTTGTCAGTGTAAATTCTGGTGATTGATGGCTTCGCTTTGATCTGTGCTCATAAATTATATCCAGTTGTTTCATATTCAAAACAGTTCAAAACCATCGCTTCATATTCCAAAAATTCTTATTGGGACAGGCCTGATCAGGCCTGGCCCAACTGGAAACAGCTGCGGAAGCGGCTGCGTGACCATGAGATACCATTGTCATGTCCGTACATGGCCGTGCGACTCACCGATACACATGGAATGAACAAATTTGGAATTCTAGTACGTACTACGACGTACTCCCAACCTTATGCCATTTGTTAGGTTGGGAGGATATAATCTGTTTTTATTATGCATACTCACCATGTTTATATATCATATATCTGATGCCTGGGGTGTTCAGGTGTGAGAGCCCAGCAACTGCCAAATCATTGTTATATATATATATATTTGCATTTTTATCTGTCTCCGGATGAACCGGTTCCGAATAGCTGGAAATGCTTCCGTGGCAAGCATACCCCATGATGCTTTGTTTTCAGTCTGGGAGAATGCCACGCAAGTGTTAAGCATTCAAAGTCTGGATGCCATCACTGGGGCAGCAACGTGCGAGTTGGGGCGAATCTCCCGGCGAGTCCGTGGTCCATGGGGGAGTGCACCTCTGCTGCCATCGTGCGCTTTCGCCCGGAGCCAAAGAGATTTGTTGCAGGGGCTCAGGGCAAGCAGCGGTCACCTGAACATCTGGAGTTTGGATCTGTGGGTTTGGTGTTGTCAAAAAAGATCGAAACACTTGCAGTAATAAACCAATCTTCTACGAAATGGGTGTAAGAACACCTTCATAGCCATCTGTGGCAAAAAAGCATTCTTTCTGACACCCACATGCTCTTTGGATGTCTGCGACAACATACTATTGCTAAGAAGAGCGAACCAAAAAGCCCCTTTTCACGGTACATCTTTTGCAAGCTCTCAGTGTTACGATATAAGATGTTACAATACAAGAACACAAACCTGCAAGCCCACAAAAGGTACTCAATGGCCAATCTTTGTGCAGGTCCCACATCTTATCAAACGTGGACATCAATGTCCCACCGTCATCGGTCTTATATAAGCATGTGGGTGCCTGTAGAAGATACAGAACGGCCCCAATCATTCTAGACAATGGAGAATCCATTTCCGCGCCTGTGCGAAGAACTTCAAGCCGTACAGGGGTTGGCTGCTGGAAGCCACCGAAACCACTGCGGGACCACCCATAGAAGCGATATAGCTGGCACTGGCGTTCAGATTGACATCTTCCTGCCAATATCTCTGAGTGCTAAACAAATGGAAATGCAGAGAAACTCCCAAAAGGAGTCTTCGCAATATCCTATCGAGAACCCTGGTAGCTGTTTCTCATTCAAGTTGATAAACATACAAAGCTATAGCTGCAGCATCTAGGGCCCCTGTGTCTTCACACTTTGACACCTCACAACTGTGTCAAACGCCAATCTACAATCACCAATCAGATCTTCCCTTGCAAAGGAGCCATGTCATGGACTAACTTCAATGCGAAGCAAACGCATCATGTCATGATGTCATGTGCTGCTTGATGTGGTGGGATTGATCCAGTTTCTGTTTTGGCCTTGACGCGGAAAAAAATACCGTCAACTGGGCCCAGCCTTGAATTGAGCCAAGATTGACTGCCTCTGGCCACCTCTCACAAACAAAATGGCCAGAAACCCGTGAGCAGTGAATGACAGGACTCCCAAACAACCTCCCAAAAACCTCTAGAGTGTAACTGTAACTATACACGCTTATTTATCAAAAGTAAGAATATATATATTTATGGAGCGTCGAGGGAGTATCGAACAAAACTGAGTGAGTGTAAACAAAATATGAGTGTAAAGGAAATATGACCTTGCTGATTGTACACTCATCGCTTCTCCTTTTGCCAAGTAGGATACTGTGAAGCTGGGATAAGCTGGGTTTCATGAAGATCTTGAAGAGCATGGCAGTTCTACAAATTCCCTAGAAATTCCAGCCACCGCCTCCATACAACTCAGTACTCAAAATACAACAACAACTCTCTACCAAATACCCTCCATAGTCTATAGTCTCCTTTCCCCCCTGGTCCGTCTGTGACCGTCCCTCCCCGTCGGATGGTCGGACAGCCACCGCCTTCGGGCAAGGGCTTGGAGGCGCTGAGCAGGTTGGGAGCCGTGAACTGAAATCGCGAGGCCAAGGGCACCGACCAGCCCTGCGAGTGTTTCAGGCCGATTCGGCGCGGGAAAACGGAAACTACAGAAAGGATTCCAACAGATGCACCTTGGTAAACTATGGTAAACTGATACATGATACATGTGATTGAACATACCAGAAAATATGTTTCTATCTCGTTATTATACTTTCGATGTACAGTTACTGAATTATTGAGGTGTTTCAATCTTTGAGCTGAGACTAGGGGAATGGACCGGAATGGATCTGGACATTTGACCAAAGATGAGTACGTTACAAAACGGGGTGATGCTAGTTAGGGTCACCTTGTGTTGCTCCATTCTCAAGTACATGCGCGACCCCGGCGTGCCTGCTTAAGACCAGGCTCCTCACTCTGGCTCAGGTCCTGCCCGAAGCGCAGCTGCAAAGGGGTGTTGATCTGCTTCCGGTCCTGAGATGAGATGTAGATGGATGCATCCACAGTGAGTCCCAGCAGTTGTATGTATTGTTGTGTTCTTTCTTGAGTGGCATGTTGACTGATGGTAAACCAGGTGTTGGACCTTTGATCTTGCCCTCAAAGCCAAAGGGTGGCAGCAGTTCATCTTTGGAACCGCATCAAACACCTGCCAGAATATGAGTGGATTTACTAACTTGCGTCATTGGACCTTCCTTTATATATGGAGGGTTTGAGCCTGGTCAGCTCTGCGATTGATGATTGTTTCGCAAGGGCACTAGCATAAGGTGCTTCAAGCAACATGGCGAACCTGGAAATCCACCGGTCCACCAACCAAATGCTCTTCTCTACATCAATACTTTACATTGTCAGATGCCGGGCTCCTTGGCAACATTGCTCGCTCTGAAAAGCCACGCTTCGAACAAAGAACCATCATGCAAGGACGTGTTCACATCAAGTACGTCACAAACAACTGACATGGAAGTTGCAAGCCAATGCAAAACAACAAACACAATTAATTCGAGTCAAAGTCAGTCCGGCTAGGTGCCAGTTGAATCACTGTCCAAACAGCATTAAAAAGATCGAGAGTCTATGGCTAAGAAATTGTGCGTGAACTGCACAGTGGTGAATTTGCGAGTGCCCGTGTTGATCAACTTCGACCTGGCTGCATGGGCGTCTTTTGCATCTTCTGAGCACAAACCGGATGGAAAGGACACCACCATCATTCAACATCTATCTATATCTGATCACCCCAGTGGTTCAAAAAACGTGCCCCTTGCTTGGGCATGCTTGGGCATGCTTGGACCCTTTTCTCGCCTCACCGTCTTCACCCTGCCATTTCTCGCTCCTTCGCAGCACCAATACGGAAGACTGACCCTGTCCTCTCCAGACGCAGAAACGGGTCAGTCGCTGAAATGATTTGGCGATTTCCCCGGTTTTGGCTGGTTCTGTTGTCTCTCGTGATCTCGTGATCAGGAAACCCATTGTTTCTATGTGTTTCCAAAAAAAAAGACAACGGTCTCCGGTGACGACACCGACGACACGGACTCTCTCTTCCCGCGACCCGACGCGACGAGACTGGACCAAAAGGCTTCATCACCAGCAGATTGCCATAAAGCTGCACAGTGCGATGGAGACGATAGGCCCATCCAGAGTCCAAAGAGGCAAAGTGGACCATCTCCTTTTGGCATCAAAAGGACGAAAACAACAAATAGGATAATCATATGAAACACATGGGGAGACTTCTTCACCATACCATACCATTCACCCCTTGGAAGCCGATGCTAGTGGGTCTTCATGAAGGGTTCTTGCATGTTGTGACCTTGGCAAGACACGAGGTTGAAAGCTCTTAGTCTCAATTGCCGCAAGTGGGGCAAAGACGCATTGAGCTCCAAAGACTCAAAGACCGTCATCTACATTTCAATGGAAAGGCTGCACACGGTGAGACCGGACACATTGGGCAGTCCATGTGATCACTGGACTGATTGCCGACGATCCAAACAGGCTGCTCCGCAAACTTGTAGTTGGAGTTGAAGTGATAATTCCTTAGAAAAGAGCGAAACTATGGTGGATTGAGAGTAGCAGAGTAGATGGCACGATCCTCAAGGTTTATAATTGCTTATATTGGACCCTGATCCAAAAAACATCTTGGGGTGCCAGTGACATCTACTCCGAAATCTCTGTAATTGATAGCATCACCCAAGAGAGTGATACTGATATGTTGCAGTACATTATTTTATTTAATGATGTCATTTAATGGAGCACCTTTTTAGTTCATCATCAATATAGAATCCAGGTGTTCGTATGGCTTGTTGCAAGAAGGCAGTTCAAGCATACCAAGGAACATCAAGGAACAAACAGTTGGTTCGATCAATGCTTCTCCATGGTTCTCCCAAAGATCTATGCCAACTGGATGTGGATCCAACCTGTCACACCATGTCTCCCCGAGTTGCGCGAGAAGAAACATCTGCACATACCCTCACCATCCTCACCCACTGGACCGAGCGACGGATCTGTGGCGCAGGTCTGCTCCTTGTAGGACCAATCACAGGAGCCCTTGACCTGGGCTCTGAATGACCATTGATACTGCAAAGAGGTTTGCCATACTTCGCCCAATTCGATTCAACTCATCTGTTGTCAAACAAGCCTTTTTCGTACTTGCAACATCTTGCAAACATCGAAAGACTATGAACGACTTAAAGAAGTTCCCACATCACGGAACTCGTTCTCCTATATATACCCCTTCCAACTGTCCATAGTCTTCCTCGTTCCTGATAATATGCAGCATGATGCAGACTGGTGGCAATCTTTAGGATTCAAACTTTGATTCCTTGATGACCTCACTAGGTCACTAATGTAGACTGTTGATGAGTTACCCTCCCCTGATAATTTTCTCCGCACTGTTCGTTTCGATTATTGACGCCCCGATTAATGTCTGCACCGTTGGGTTGCAATAACATCAAAATGATTCATCAACATCTCCTGCACTAATATCTTTGGTTTTCATTGTTAATTAAATCACTTTTTTGCTTCCTGAGTATTGATGTCCTTTTGATTCCTTTTGATTTCCTTTTGATTCCTTTTGATTTCCTTTTGATTCCTTTTGATTTCCTTGTGATTCCTGTTCATTTCCTTTGGATTCCTTTTCATTACCTTTGGATTTGGTTTAGTTAAATCATTATTCTAATTTAATTTCTATGCTTAGCTTTCCAATAATGTTTATGCTTTGACTTTCTTCAACAATGTTTACCCTAGAATACTGTCTGCACTTTTGCTCTGGCATGGCTTTTAATAATAACACACCCTGGAATAATTTCTATGTGTTTTCATGGTAAATTAATTCCCTTATTTATATTTTCTAACTATTGAATTCCTTTTAAATTACGGTTGATTCCTATGTATTTCTTTTTGATCTCTACTAAATACCTTGGACAGTGTTTTATTAGTTTCTTTGACTCCCTTTTGTAGATCTCATTAGAATATTACAGAAACCTATTCCACAAAGAGGGTAGCCAATACACTAGAAATCTTGCTTAATATAACCATCTACAATAAAGTCTTTCCTTTAAAAGGTCTTTAATTGAAACACCTCCTGTAATGCTGTCAATGTTTTTTCGTGGTAAATGAGTTAATTATCTTACAGTATTTATTGTGATTTCCATAGACATATTTGTCTTATTTCTTTTGGCAGATTTGATGGCATTTCTGAATCTCTCTCAGACCACACCGCTCCCATGAGGCGGTTGATGAAACGAACCGTGTCGTGGCTGCCAAGAGGCCAGCTTCCCCACTCCGATTTTCAAAAAGGGTTCTCCGAAGTCGGCCTCGTGGTAACCCAGCAAGCCATTGCTCGCCTGAAACAAACCAAGGAGCACAGGTCGAGCCGCGTGTTCGGCGACGTGGGCAATTCAGGCAGGCAAAGTATGAGAGAAATGTGAATATGGCTCATGCTATGGAGAAGGTGTCATTGCGTTTTTTCTTCACGGTGTGTCGTAAGACGACATTCGCCACTACTACGGGGGACTACACAGTCTGGCCGGTGAAACCCATCGTCTTGCTGTCCACGTCCTGTCATCCTCCTTTCACCGACAGGGGCTCTGTGCTATGAAGGGCGAACTTGTTCTTTGCACTTGGTGGGCTGATTGGTCCCCCTCCCTGCCACTACTCATACCTTTCCCGCCCAGCCAGGCCTCCTGATCCTTGTTTGCACCCCAACCAGGTGGACAGTCCGGACCGTCGCTGCCGCAGCCGAACCTGGGAACCACCCAGGAGCACTTTGTCGCTTGATGTGGGTCAAAGCTAGTTTTGATCCACACGCACAGCTGCAAAGGACAATATCTCGGAAGAACAGCTATACTGGCTATACATATGGGCTGCCTGGCCAGAAGAGGCTACCAAGATACAGTGGTTTCTAATCTTGCCGATTGGAGTTCGACACCCCCAACACTTTTGGCTAAAGGCTCACGGCCGTACATTTAAAGATTGAAACCTAAGGGAACCCCAAAAAATACGTTGACTTGAATCTTTCAAAAGATAAGTTTGTTCATAGAAAAAAGACTCTCGGTGGCTGTGCTTTTTGGGTCCAAAAGACTCGGAGGCCAGTCCTAGAACTGCCTCAGGATTGCTGGGATCATGTTCCTTGGCCCAGTTGGGGTCTGTCGAAGTCCTCCAAAGATCACTGAAGAATTCGCTTTTGCCCATCTTCACCTCTCCAATCATGCTTCCCCAGTCCTTGGAAGGTCTCGGATCTCTTCCACATGGGAAAACAAAATAACCTTTTCAGGGTCACAACAAACAACTTGCAATGCAATCTCAGCTTGATGAACCAAGCAGTATGACACACTAGGAGCTGAGCTGCAAAGCGTGTCGAGTTGTAATAGCCCATGGTACTGGGCAAGTACACCGTGACGTTCAACATCTCGTTGGACAAGATCTTCTTTGGATATGCACCACTAGCGAGCCAAGCCAGACTGGCCAGGCTGGCCATGAGCACTGCATGGGTCGCCATCGACTTGGATAGATAAGCAAACGTCTTGGGATATCGAGTGGCCAAATAATGCACGTTGTTGCAAGTCTTTGACATCCTTCTCCTCCAGCTCATTGAATGACACTTTATGAAACTTTAGCTGATCCAGTTCCAGTATTGCATTTAGATACTTTGTTGTGCCGGGCGTTTCACGCATCAACTGTCAGAGTCTAAGTCACAGTCTTCACTGTGCATCAATTAGCTTTTCCGTGCCCCCGGGCAAGCTGAGCCAAACGCTTTCCCGGGTGTGCGAGAAGAAACCAAACTTGAGGCGTTCAGCAAACAATGAGGTCTAGGAGCCCAGAACTCGCTCATTTTGGTCTTTTGGACATCTAAACATTTGGTGTTTCATATGTTTCATACACTAGCAGTTTGCGGAGTATGCGGAGTATGCGGCATGGCCATTTGGTATACAGGTACAGGTCAGGAATTGAACCCAAATCAGTATGCTCATGCACTTAGCACCTCCATTGCTTGGTGCCAGTTGCAGTCACCCTCTGAGGCAAAGAATGGGTGGAATGCTCCCAAGAGGAGAAAACTCAATGCATCGGAGATCATCGGAGGGTGGGATGATAGGCATCAAACGACATGGACCATTGATAGGTTGCCATGGTCGCCAAAGTATGCGAGCACATGGTAGTGAAAATGCAAGAATTATACAAATTATGATACCAAAGTATTGCAGTTGCAGCAGCAACATGGAAAATACCGTCACCATGATTTGTTTCTTCTACCAAGCTAAAAACGTGACATGAAAAACTTGCTCCCATGGAATGGTTCCAACCCTAAATCAACACCAGGCAACCAGCTCAGGCAAAGTGTGACAAACAAATTATAGGTTGGAGGCCATCGCGATTAGGTTGGAGGCAAACAAACTATAAATGGTTCCGAACGTCTTCCGAACATCCGCCGCGCCTGACCCTCTTGTCTTGGAAAGACTCGATGACTGGACGGTGAGGTTTCGGCGACGGGAAAACCGATCCCCATTGAGGGAGCATCAAAAAGCGTAGAACTTGCGCGTTGCTTCGCAAGCAGCGAAGAACTAATCAGCCTCAAAGTGAGACTGACGCACGCCAGGGAATTTAGCAAATCATCTGGACCAAATTGGATAATGAAATGGAAGATCTGAGCTGTTCTACTGTGGATCCCAAAACAAGTGGACTGTGAAAATCCAGTGGAGAACCGTTCTCGTTTCAATGACTGTAGCACCACGCTTGGTTCAACTCAAAAAAGACCTGTTTGTTTCCGGAAAGCGACCAGCGAACCTCAACGATTCAAATGCAAACCATGTTTCTGCCGGTCTTCAGGTCTGAAAGAAATGCTGACGAGAAGCAGGGATTCATGCTGATTAATGGAAATCATCTTATATATAATCATCCATCAAGTTGACATTCCACAAACCCATGACTCCACATGTCATTTGGTCCCTCCTTTTGCCATCCAACTGCAATCTCCGAAAGCCGTCAGCCTGGTCCCCACCGAGGGCGAACCATCTGCAGATGTCTCGAGAATCTGCGGAACGAGAGTGCCGCAGCTTGGAAGCCCGCGAAACGGCGTACGCTTCGGACTAGACTTGGTTGTCTTAGGGCGCTTCAATAGAGGCAGAGTTCCCTACCAATCTTCTGTTTGGAGAGTCTTCCATGAAAAGACACTTGGAAGAAAGACACAGCATCAAACATGAAACAAAAAGACCAAGAACGATTGGCATAGAAACAACATGAAACAACAACCCATCTATATTGTCTATGTTATGACTTGGCATTCAAAGCATTTGACAACAAATTTCGGGAACCAATTCACATCTGGACCTCTCTGAGTCTCTGTGTACAGAAAACGTGTTGACACCGCCTTGTACTTGGCAAGGCCCGGCTGGTTGGCAGAACCTGCTTGGCAATGGGTGCTTTGGGACCTATACAGTAGGGGATAGGTGACTGTGATGTTGCCTGTACCGCGAGGGTAGTGTAGCATGTCTTCAAATACCTTTGCCTTGAAGACATCAATTGAAGAGTTGAACACTTTACGAAACAGGCAGGACTAAGGTCCTCTGCGTCCCTCACGCACTATACTTTTGCATACTTTTGCGCACACCATTTGTGCAACATCTGGCTGATGCCCATCGTTGGTGTGCCTCAATCTTGATCAACATCATAGTGTGTTCAATCAAGCGAATCTCTGCTACAGTATGGATTCGCACGTAGGTTGTGTATAAAAGTCGAAGTCTGATGGCTTTGAGAATCTCTTCGGCACTGTCGTTGTGCCTCCGAGTCCCTAAGAACACAAAGGCTCAATCCAAGTCATCCTAATATCACGCTACCTCAAATGCTGCGCAACTTCAGAACACAGGATTTCACTGGATTTCCTTGTCAACACAATGGACATTCTGGGATGGAGTTCACAAGTGCTTTCCAAATATGATTCTGGCCACCGAAAGTTCTCCCACCTCAAGCATTTTGTCGGAGATGATCATATATTGACAAGTATTGGTAGTAGTGGCGGTGGAAGAAGCCCCCCCACCCACACCGCTGGCTGAATCCAACATGACTCATGAAAGAAAACGTAGTCACGTAGTCCTCCCAAATCTAGCGGTTCGTGGCTTGTCACTTCTCGACAACATGGTTTCCTCAATGTCGGAAAAATAAACATAACAAAGATACTTGCACTCTTGCTGCTAAAAGCAGCTTTGAGAATCTGAAGGCCAAAATGTATAATTCATGATGTTGCTTGATTCATGTCAGCTGTCTTGATATTCCACATGCAACTTTATGATGGATGTTCACAGTTTGAAACTTGCAACCAGTCTTTTGCTCGCAAACTAAGTCGGGTGGTAACTTTGAAACGTGTCAATGATTGACCAAAAGATTGGCAGCGCGCCTTGATCTTCCGTTGAAGCTCTTATTGAATTTCCGACTTATGAACCCCAATCGTCAATGATGCCAATTGATCAAGAAAGATGTCTGCTAAAGATGCGGGACCACACCTTGACTCCTTGACAAGAGCTTATTCTGTATCTGTTGCAGCTCGTACACTTTCCATCACATCGGGAGCAAAAGTTATTGGACGTGTGGCCCATTGACGATGTTGGAAGATGGAATTTCTGGGAAACTCTTCTTTGTTCTATTTACACTGATGTCCAGAAGCGCATAGGGCCTCTGGACCTTCAAACTTCCAAACTAATCTAATCCACGTCAGATAACGAATGGCCTTGGCTGCCCAAGACACGTGATTTCCTTCGCCAGGGCATATTGCAGTGACGTGTAACGTGTCGAGGTGAAATATGACATGGATTGCAAGAAGCATCAAGAAACCAATGCAGCCGGGCTACCATCATGATCCGTTGGATTGACGCAGTGCTGTGAGGATGAGGTGGATTGCGACACTTGTCGCTGCGACTCCTGTGGAAGACAGCAAGAGCAAATAAGCAGCTATCTCGTCTGAGATGCACCAACGCAGCCATCGAAACGAAATCACACACGCAGCCTTGCACAGTCGTGCTTTTCCACCAGATACGGCCTTTACCACCACGGATTGCCCTGTCGAAAGCATCCAAATACTTGCACTCTAAAAACAATCTAACACTCGCTGATCAAACACTTGGCCTCGACGGCACAAATGGGTGCTGAAAATGAGATTACCCTGAGGTCTCTCTTGATCTCACACATGGAACACAAAAAGACTAGGCCCTAGCGGCCCTAGGCAAAGAAAAGCTAAATGCCGCGACTTGTCTTTTGTGGAATCGTGGGCCAATCATTCATGGCCAATCCACTTACGCACCTTCATCGCTCAATAAAGCAAGTGAGCCCAGACCAATGCCATCCACTGTCGCCTTAGATGTCCCACGCGCAATCAACACCAAAAGGATGCAAAAGACTCACATCAAGAAACTCTATTCAGCTGTGGCACGGCTTCCTTGCTGGCTTGCTCGAGCTCCTGCTGGCAGCAAAATGAATTGAGATTGCGATCTCAAAATGTTGACTTGCCAAAAGTTACTCAAGAGGAAGGATGGTTGTTCAGTATCAAACATTCTTCCTACCGGAATGATGTTTCAAGCAAACTGTGCAGCTCCTGCGGCTTTTCGGGGGTAGCAGCTGGAGATGTGAGCATTTTGGGGGATTTCGGCAGATCTTCCTGCGCAGGCACATGTGAAGACATGCATTATTTGCCACTTCTTTGCAGTCAACAAGGATCCAATGCGTGAGTCAAGCATATCAGCCCAATCGATCCATGCAAACAGTAGTGCAAAAGCAAACCTCAGCAAGACTGGCTTCCACCTCTGCCACTCCTTCAGGTGCTTGAGTCACCTATCATGCAAGCATAGTCAATTTGGACATCCGCGCATGACATATTCCGATGGACAGAGCCTTACGGGTGGTCAGGATGCTAGCTCAGTCCCCGCAAATTCCATCCGAACAAAGGTAGATCCCGTATATTTACGTCAAGCAGTTGTGCAAGAGTTTGCTATCTCTAGGGATCTCTGAGGGAAGATCTTGCCGCCTGCAGTTGCGCAAGGAAGCACAAACCGCTTTCAGGTACTGCAGAGTTGTATTGCAAACATTGATCATAGCCCGCCATTTCATACGAACCAATTGCTTACACGAATTCCTGTGTCCTGTGATACCAAGTGTGACAAAACCAGAACTGCTTTGGTAACTCGTGTTCAACATCAAGTGCGAAGATATCTCCGAATGGGAACGTTTGTTGTCAACGCTAGCAGCCACCATCATGATGGCCTTGCCAGAGTGTTGTTTGTGTGAATCATCACAGCCTCGACTAATTCATGCACACCGTGATCCTCTTCTACCGATGGAGATAAAGGCATCAAACCCTTGCCATTCTCCGCAGTCAGTCGGTTAAGGTGAAATTTTCTGAAGGTGCTGTTCAAGAATACGTTTGCTCTTGAAGCCCCCTCCCACAGTATATAACATATGTTTGCTTCCCAGGCCATCATTGTCCCTGACAGTCTACAAGTTGCCTCTATAGTTGCCGGCCTCTGCCACGTTTCGAAAGGTGGGCGGAGGCGACCTCAAACATGACACGCCATTGCTCTTGGATGACACAAAAACGAACCGTTTAGCAGTTCAACATGAATTGGACCTCTTTTACACATGTCTTGGATTTCTCAGATGCACTCTCCCGTCACAATATTCAGCACCATCAGTTAGCTCTCCTATTTCCAAACGCACCTCAATTGCTCCATTCCGCATCCATGCCCCTCCAACTCCCCATTGCGCCTGATGTCTGGCTCCGGCCAGTCCTCCGAATCTTTGGGCTTACAAAGACTGACTTCAACCGATGCATGTTGTCCTTCGATTGAGAAAACAACGATGGTCAAAGCAATGTTTAAAGTTGCGCAGAGGAAAGTCTTTGGCAAGCTCCTTTGTAGCATGATATAGCCTGATAGCCTTGAACTATCTACACACTTGATAGAACTTTCACAGCGTTGAGGCTTCTGCGCCTCCTTGACTCGACCGCAACAGCAGTTTTGCCCCATCACCAATGCGAGAAGACACGAGACACACGAGGTGTTGCACTTGCAACTTTGAGCTGCAATGGCGAGCAGTATCACGGGCTGCGGGTGTTGAGCGAAGTGCTGGACTATGCTAGACTTCCACAAGTTAAAGGTTGTGTGAAGTTGTTGTGATTATTCCACATGCAACTTTATGATGGATGTTCACAGTTTGAGGTTTGCGACCAGTCTTTTGCTCGCAAACTAAGTCGGGTGGTAACTTTGAAACGTGTCAATGATTGACCAAAAGATTGGCAGCGCGCCTTGATCTTCCGTTGAAGCTCTTATTGAATTTCCGACTTATGAACCCCAATCGTCAATGACGCCAATTGATCAAGAATGATGTCTGCTAAAGATGCGGGACCACACTTTGATTCCTTGACAGAGCTTATTCTGTATCTGTTGCAGCTCGTACACTTTCCATCACATCGGGTGAGCAAAAGTTATTGGACGTGTGGCCCATTGACGATGTTGGAAGATGGAATTTCTGGGAAACTCTTCTTTGTTCTATTTACACTGATGTCCAGAAGCGCATAGGGCCTCTGGACCTTCAAACTTCCAAACTAATCTAATCCACGTCAGATAACGAGTGGCCTTGGCTGCCCAAGACACGTGATTTCCTTCGCCAGGGCATAGTGTAGTGACGTGTAACGTGTCCGAGGTGAAATATGACATGGATTGCAAGAAGCATCAAGAAACCAATGCAGGCGGTCTACCATCATGATCCGTTGGATTGATGCAGTGCCGTGAGGATGACGAGGTGGATTGCGACACTTGTCGCTGCGACTCCTGTGGAAGACAGCAAGAGCAAATAAGCAGCTATCTCGTCTGAGATGCACCAACGCAGCCATCGAAACGAAATCACACACGCAGCCTCGCACAGTCGTGCTTTTCCACCAGATACGGCCTTTACCACCACGGATTGCCCTGTCGAAAGCATCCAAATACTTGCACTCTAAAAACAATCTAACACTCGCTGATCAAACACTTGGCCTCGACGGCACAAATGGGTGCTGAAAATGAGATTACCCTGAGGTCTCTCTTGATCTCACACATGGAACACAAAAAGACTAGGCCCTAGCGGCCCTAGGCGAAGAAAAGCTAAATGTCGCGACTTGTCTTTTGTGGAATCGTGGGCCAATCATTCATGGCCAATCCACTTACGCACCTTCATCGCTCAACAAAGCAAGTGAGCCCAGCCCAATGCCATCAACTGTCGACTTAGATGTCCCACGCGCAATCAACACCAAAGGGATGCAAAACACATCAAAAAACTCTATTCAGCTGTGGCACGGCTTCCTTGCTGGCTTGCTCGAGCTCCTGCTGGCAGCAAAATGAATTGAGATTGCGATCTCAAAATATTGACTTGCCAAAAGTTACTCAAGAGGAAGGATGGTTGTTCAGTATCAAACATTCTTCCTGCCGGAATGATATTTCGAGCAAACTGTGCAGCTCCTGCGGCTTTTCCGGGGTAGCAGCTGGAGATGTGAGCATTTTCGGGGATTTCGGCAGATCTTCCTGCGCAGGCACATTTGCACACATGTATTATTTGCCACTTCTTTGCAGTCAACAAGGACCCAACGTGAGTCAAGCATATCAGCCCAATCGATCCATGCAAACACTAGTGCAAAAGCAAACCTCAGCAAGACTGGCTTCCACCTCTGCCACTCCTTCAGGTGCTTGAGTCACCTATCATGCAAGCATAGTCAATTTGGACATCCGCGCATGACATATTCCGATGGACAGAGCCTTACGGGTGGTCAGGATGCTAGCTCAGTCCCCACAAATTCCATCTGAACAAAGGTAGATCCCGTATATTTACGTCAAGCAGTTGTGCAAGAGTTTGCTATCTCTAGGGATCTCTGCGGGAAGATCTTGCCGCCTGCAGTCGCTCAATATTGCAAACATTGATCATAGCCCGCCATTTCATACGAACCAATTGCTTACAAGAACTCCTGTGTCCTGTGATACCAAGTGTGATAAAACCTGAACTCGCTTTGGTAACTCGTGTTCAACATCAAGTGCGAAGATATCTCCGAATGGCAACGTTTGTTGTCAACGCTAGCGGCCGCTAGCAGCCACCATCATGATGGCCTTGCCAGAGTGCCCCGTCGACATTTCCCTTAGTTTTGTTGCTTGTGTGAATCACCACAGCCTCGACTAACTCATGCTCACCGTGATCCTCTTCAGATAGATCCTACCAAACGTGACAATGAAGGTTGTTTCTATGGGAGATTACGGTAGCACACTTGTCAGACCCCTGCTGTGCAAAGGTAGTGCTGACAAATGGCTCAGCCGACAAAATGAAACTGCATGAAACACAAGTCTCGGAACTGCAAAAGAACAGCTGGTGATACTGATACAGGCGTCTACAAGTTGTCTCTATAGTTGCCCACCCCAGGACAAGCACGCCTCTGCCACGTTTCGAAAGGTGGGCGGAGGCGACCTGAAAACTGTTTAACAGTTCAACATGAATTGGACCTCTTTTACACATGTCTTGGATTTCTCAGATGCACTCTCCCGCCACAATATTCAGCACCATCAGTTAGCTCTCCTATTTCCAAACGCACCTGAATTACTCCATGCCGCATCCATGCCCCTCCAACTCCCCATTGCGCCTGATGTCTGGCTCCGGCCAGTCCTCCGAATCTTTGGGCTTACAAAGACTGACTTCAATTGATGTATGTTGTCCTTCGATTGAGAAAACAACGATGGTCAAAGCAATTTTTAAAGTTGTGCAGAGGAAAGTCTTTGGCAAGCTCCTTTGTAGCATGATATAGCCTGATAGCCTTGAACTGTCTACACACTTGATAGAACTTTCACAGCGTTGAGGCTTCTGCGCCTCCTTGACTCGACCGCAACAGCAGTTTTGCCCCATCACCAATGCGAGAAGACACGAGACACACGAGGTGTTGCACTTGCAACTTTGAGCTGCAATGGCGAGCAGTATCACGGGCTGTGGGTGTTGAGCGAAGTGCTGGACTATGCTAGACTTCCACAAGTTAAAGGTTGTGTGAAGTTGTTGTGATTATTTCACATGCAACTTTATGATGGATGTTCACAGTTTGAAACTTGCAACCAGTCTTTTGCTCGCAAGCTAAGTCGGGTGGTAACTTTGAAACGTGTCAATGATTGACCAAAAGATTGGCAGCACGCCTTGATCTTCCGTTGAAGCTCTTATTGAATTTCCGACTTATGAACCCCAATCGTCAATGACGCCAATTGATCAAGAAAGATGTCTGCTAAAGATGCGGGACCACACCTTGACTCCTTGACAATAGCTTATTCTGTATCTGTTGCAGCTCGTACACTTTCCATCACATCGGGAGCAAAAGTTATTGGACGTGTGGCCCATTGACGATGTTGGAAGATGGAATTTCTGGGAAACTCTTCTTTGTTCTATTTACACTGATGACCAGAAGCGCATAGGGCCTCTGGACCTTCAAACTTCCAAACTAATCTAATCCACGTCAGATAACGAATGGCCTTGGCTGCCCAAGACACGTGATTTCCTTCGCCAGGGCATATTGCAGTGACGTGTAACGTGTCCGAGGTGAAATATGACATGGATTGCAAGAAGCATCAAGAAACCAATGCAGCCGGGCTACCATCATGATCCGTTGGATTGACGCAGTGCTGTGAGGATGAGGTGGATTGCGACACTTGTCGCTGCGACTCCTGTGGAAGACAGCAAGAGCAAATAAGCAGCTATCTCGTCTGAGATGCACCAACGCAGCCATCGAAACGAAATCACACACGCAGCCTTGCACAGTCATGCTTTTCCACCAGATACGGCCTTTACCACCACGGATTGTCCTGTCGAAAGCATCCAAATACTTGCACTCTAAAACAATCTAACACTCGCTGATCAAACACTTGGCCTCGACGGCACAAATGGGTGCTGAAAATGAGATTACCCTGAGGTCTCTCTTGATCTCACACATGGAACACAAAAAGACTAGGCCCTAGCGGCCCTAGGCAAAGAAAAGCTAAATGTCGCGACTTGTCTTTTGTGGAATCGTGGGCCAATCATTCATGGCCAATCCACTTACGCACCTTCATCGCTCAACAAAGCAAGTGAGCCCAGCCCAATGCCATCAACTGTCGACTTAGATGTCCCACGCGCAATCAACACCAAAGGGATGCAAAACACATCAAAAAACTCTATTCAGCTGTGGCACGGCTTCCTTGCTGGCTTGCTCGAGCTCCTGCTGGCAGCAAAATGAATTGAGATTTGCGATCTCAAAATATTGACTTGCCAAAAGGCCAAAAGTTACTCAAGAGGAAGGATGGTTGTTCAGTATCAAACATTCTTCCTGCCGGAATGATATTTCGAGCAAACTGTGCAGCTCCTGCGGCTTTTCGGGGGTAGCAGCTGGAGATGTGAGCATTTTGGGGGATTTCGGCAGATCTTTCTGCGCAGGCACATTTGCACACATGTATAATTTGCCACTTCTTTGCAGTCAACAAGGAGTCAAGCATATCAGCCCGATCGATCCATGCAAACAGTAGAGCAAAGGCAGACCTCAGCAAGACTGGCTTCCACCTCTGCCACTCCTTCAGGTGCTTGAGTCACCTATCATGCAAGCATAGTCAATTTGAACATCCGCGCATGACGTATTCCGATGGACAAAGCCTTACGGGCGTTCAGGATGCTAGCTCAGTCCCCGCAAATTCCATCCGAACAAAGGTAGATCCCGTATATTTACGTCAAGCAGTTGTGCAAGAGCTTGCTATCTCTAGAGATCTCTGCGAGAAGATCTTGCGGACTGCAGTTGCGCAAGGAAGCACAAACCGCTTTCAGGTACTGCAGAGTTGGCAAACATTGATCATAGCCCGCCATTTCATGCGAACCAATTGCTTACAAGAATTCCTGTGTCCTGTGATACCAAGTGTGATAAAACCAGAACTCGCTTTGGTAACTCGTGTTCAACATCAAGTGCGAAGATATCTCCGAATGGGAACGTTTGTTGTCAACGCTAGCA